TGACACATTTCAGCATACCTCCTTACTAACGATGAATAGTTTTCAATTATTTTTTCCTTCTAATTAGCATAACCATTCATCAGCCACCAAGCCATTGCTTTTCATTGGTGACTGTCCCTGTATGTAATGCAAATCCTTTTCTATTTTTTGCTTTGGCATCACTATTTACTTTAAAATCATTGTCGCATTCCCACAATCTTTAATTATGATGTAAACTTGACTTAATAATGCTTTTTTGTAGATATATGTTAAATGAGATGGAGAAATATTCCTGCAAAGGATATGTTTTGAGCTAACAGCAGATACAATTCTATTGTAGAGGGCAGGGTTTGCACAGAAACAACCCAAAATTCAAAACATGACATCGGTCCACAGGCTAATGATACTCCTGAAACCCTGTGATCCACTACCAATTAGAGTAACCCCAGATGGGAAGTGCTAGCTGTTCATATGTTAATTTATCACCCTTTATTTGGACAGATTCCACCATGGTAAAGGCATCAGAGAGCTAGACAGAGCAATGGCCTGACTCAGTGTAATAAAGTTTTGGGGAGAAACAAAACAGAACAGTGACATTGCCATTAGCAATATTATAAAGAAAGGGAAAGGAGGAGATTTCTAATCTTCTGTGACTACCTTGATAAGAAATAAGAATAGAGAGCTATGCAATAATGGAAGGACTGACTATGCTACTTTGGAGAGCTTCAAATGAAAACAGCATTTGTTTAGCAATGGAAGTTGTGCAAGTAGTGAAACTGGAATGCCAGCAATGTTAACTATGTAAAGAAGGCATTAAGAGGTTGGAGACCCTCAACTAATTAGTGACCTGGGAGGAAAAGAGCCACTCCTCCAAAAGAGAGATGTAAGGATAACTGGCCACAAACATCAAAAATCCTACCAAGCCTCTTGGCAGACATGTTACAAAAGAAGAAATATGAAGCACTATATTGAATCTATATTTAGTGTTCAATAAATTAATGTATTGTTACATATTGCTATAACTGCTTTGAAAGCCTACTCTAAAATGAAAATCTATTCCTAAAATTATTAAAAATACCAGATTAGTGATAATATTTGCTTTCAGTATAACTTATTATCATTGCTTTTAGGGTATAAAACTATTTTATATATAAAATTATTTGGCCAGAAAAAGCTCATTCATGCCACCTGCTGGCAAAAATTAGGATGACTTTCAAGTATCTTTTGCAATATTTGTGCTCTGTTAGCCATAACGTTTGAAGCTAAAATAGGTTTTTCCTTCTCCAATAGCTACCAGGAACTGCTATTTTTTCATATACATTTAACCGCATATATCAGTAGGATGCGCACATACCAGAAGTCAAAGTTAACAGAAAAAAATGTCAAGGTCTTCATTACTGCAGTAAACAACTCAAGAGATATATTAGCCCAGTCAAAATGGAAGCAAGCACAACTGTCTATTTAAGGCTGAGTGCCCTCCTATGCGACCAAGCAGCTCGAAAAGACAAGGATACTCCAGTCCTGTGTAACTGGACAGAATACTAAACACACTTTATTTTAAACTGTGATACTTGGAACATAGGGAAAGAGGGCACTTGGACTTGGAGAAATAGATCACATCAGGAGTGATTTCTTTTTAAAACAAATGTACAATCAGGATGCACAGCAGGTTAAGGTAAGGCTTAAACTCCACATCACAAAATGGGATAAAAGCTCATCCTAGGCTTCCTACAGAACTGGGCGATAGACATAGATCCTGAGATGGCGGCATACAGGAAAGAAGACACTTTTCTCCTTTATACAGAAAGGAGTCAGGATCAGGAAGGCAAAAACCAACACTTAAATAAATCTAAACATATTTATATCAGTAGAATTTCAGTATTATGGCAGGATACTGTTCAAACACGGGCTTAATTAAAAGCCAACCATTTACAACTGATGTCTATGGGGGGGGGGGGGGAGAGAAAGAATTATACTACCTTATTTTTCCCAATGATTCTTGCTGTGCAAGGAATTTAATTGACTTTTTACTGAATGGTAGGGAGATTCCACATTATGATTATTACACTCATTAAGTGCAATTATGACTGTCCTGTCAAACACAGTTGAATTGTAGAAGATCCAAAAGTAGTAGTAGTATATGTTAACACTTTAGTTTGTGGCCTTTTCATAGCAACAAGTTTTTTTCATGTCAGGAATGACTTGAGGAATGAGTTAAACCATTGTGCTGGCAGGACTGCTGACCAAGAAGCCAGCGGTTCATATTCTGGGGACAGCGGGTGGAGCTTCCTTTGTCAAGTCCAGCCCCCCATGCAGGGACATGAGAGAAGCCTCCCACGGGATGGTAAAAACATCAAAACATCCAGGCGTCCCGTGGGCAACGTCGTTGCAGATAGCCAATTCTCTCACAACAGAAGCAACAAGGTGCTCCAGATTCTTAAGACTCTAGTTTCTCTAATCTTTTATTAATGGCAATGCTGGCTATGAAGAGCTAAAAGTTTCCTACCTGTAATTTACTCTTAGTTCAAGGCATTCTATTCCCTTTTTCTATATTTAAGAAATTTTACCATATTTAATAAATAATATGTCAGCAATCAGAACTTAGTTGTGAAAGGAAATTGATTTCAGTATATTCAGCAATCTGTTCATTTAGTTGTTTCCAATATATTCCAACACGTTGAAAATAATTCTGCAGTGAACTTCCTTATCTATACTTTAATGACAAAAATGTGCAATGGATAGTATTCATTTTGTTTAACCTTTCCTTGTAGGTCTGACATTTGGAAGACTGGCATTAACTTAGGAATACCACTCTGTTCCCTACTTAGAATTAGCTATACAACAAACACATTAAACCCTTTCAACATGTGGCAAGACAAAAGTAGGAGATTAGTGATTTTTCTAAAGAAGGCATTAATTTCTTATCAGCATTTAAAATACAAGTATGATTAGCTTAAAATGCAGAAATGATGACACAGTTGATTCAGCAGTTGGCTGGCAATTTGGTTTTTCAATATACATGGAAATAGCTTGAATTCCTTTAAAATTCTGTGTGTGTGTGTCTACATATTTCTACATTATGCTTGTAGTGTGAATTCAATGCCACTTTATTGTAAGCTCTCTCAACTCCAGAAAAAGTTAAAGGCGAACTCCCTCTCAACAAAGGTTACCAAGAAAACCCTTGAAGTCAGAAATGACTCTAAGGCACACCATATTATGACATTTCAAATGTGTGTAAACAGAACTACCGAGAAAAATCGAGCTTTTAAAAGACGTTTGAAATTCAAGTGAAGTTGTTTTCCTTGAGAATGGTGGAGCAAATGCCATTTCTGTAGCTCTATTGTGATGGTTCTAACAGCATAATTTGTTTACTGGATACCACACAAGTGTTGCTAGACTGCTTTTAATTTATCCAGTGCTCACAGCTCTGCGCTGTGTTTTCTTTCCTACATAAGGGCAAGAGCTTTCCTCCCAAGGAACAGTTTATGACCTTATGTTCTGAGCATTACATTTATCAGCAGGCAAACTGCCCAACACAACATTTCCACATCACACAGTGTTTCAAGAAATTTCTTGTCCACTTCTATCCCACTTGAATATGTGTTTCAGTTTGAAAGAAAATGTGCCCTTTTCCAATACTAAAGAATGTGGCTCTAGCAGTGAACAGTGGTTCTCAACCTTCCTAATGCCGCAACCCCTTAATACAGTTCATCATGTTGTGGTGACCCCCAACCATAAAATTATTTTTGTTGCTACTTTATAATTACAATTTTGCTACTCTTATGAACGGTATTGTAAATATCTGATTTTCATTCACTGGACCAAATTTGGCACAAATATGTGATACACCAAAGTCTGAGTACTGGTGGTGTTTGGGGAAAATAGACCTTGACATTTTGGAGTTGTAGCTGCTGGGATTTATAGTTCATCTACAATTAAAGAGCATTCTGAACCCCACCAATGATAGAATTGGGCCAAACTTCCCACACAGAACCTCCATGCCATGGAGGGACTCACTGGTGAAAGCCTCCCTTCAGCCTCACCCACTCTCCCTCGCCTGCACATGCGCACCATGCATGCCTGCTCTCCTCTCCCTGCTTGGAGTCTCAGAAACAGCCCTCCACAGTGAAGGAGGGCTTTTGGTGGGAGGTGCCATCTGTTTCCAAAAAGGAAGAGAAGGACAGGCGGAGAGATCGTCAGTCCTTCTCTGCCAAAGGGGTTCCTAAAACCATCAGAAATATGTTTTCTTAAGGTCTTTGGCAACCCCTCTGAAACCCCCTCACAACTCCTGAGGGGTCCCGATCCCCAGGATGAGAAACACTGCTCTACAAACTAATGTAGCACATTATTAACTTCCTTCAAGTAAATCAGCCTTAAATGTATTTTAATATTTCCATTGTTTCAGTGTTCTGTTTATTCACATACAGTAACATTCCAGCTATTCTTATGTTTATTATTGTTGAGATGCTGGAAAAATAACTGTTGTCCATTATAGGACCACACTATTTATGAATAAGGTTTCTCTTGTTTAACTAAATCTCTTGTCTGTTTTTTCACTCACATTCTGACAAAGTTTATTTTCAGTGGAGAACCTGATAAACATCTGTATTTAATATAAAAAGATCTGCTGAGGATGTAGGAAGGAATTGTTAATATAGCTAAAGGAATTTATATAGAAATCTCTGGTATATTTAGCTACAAAATATTCTAGTGGCTTCAGCAGTCATTTAAGATTAAACATTTTTACCATGGCAAAACACATAAAAAACTGGTCCCCATATAATTTCTACATGCAGACAGGTTTATGTAAAATATATAAACATTTTTTTCAGTTTGTTACAGATTGCATAAATATGGTATTTTACTCTTGCATTTACAGATGTGCAAACACAATTCGATTACAATCTCTGAAAAGTACTTTCCATCCAAAATGAACCAATGAAAAAAATGAACCAAGGAATTTAAATACCAAACTCACAAGTTTAAAATGTCTTTTTTTAGTAAAATTCACACATTTAAAATAGTTTTATTCATTTTATTTGTATATGTCAAAATACATTTTTTGCAAAATAGTGGGTTTTGCAAGTAGTTTCATGCAGATGCAAGGTCTGCTCAATACTACCAATGAAATCAACGCAACACAGTAGCCAGTTTTAAAGAATAAATAACCTATATATAAAACACTAAAATATTAGATACACATTTAATCATTCACAGGCATCCAAAACTTTTACCAAATATAATCCACAGTATGCCTAACCATCTTACAACACGACGCAGTGTGTTGCAGCCATTCAGATGGATCAATTCTCTGCTTGGTTTCTGTAGTAGCTTAAGCGCATGAAAGCTGTCCATCTTAATTAAATCTTTTGACTCATACAGACCTACTGCAACAAGAGATCCCAGAACTATCCTTGTACCTTTAGAATCAAGAATCCTGAGCTTGGTAGTAAGAGCAAAACCTTACATCTTCAAAAAACCTCCCCCCTCAAAGGGAAACGTGTGAACATCTTCCCCCAGCGAGTCTTTCTCCATTTCCCTCCCCAAAATGAAGCAAGTCCCATTCCCCAAGAATTAGGCAGTAGAACACAATGACCTTTTTAAAATGAAGGGGTACAAATTCACATTTAATATAGTATACAATATAATCAATAATACAATAGCTACTACAAGCTTTACAATATACAATTTGTTTTAATGGCTGAACTGTCCAGTGGTTTTTATAGGCAATCTTCTGTAGGCCAGTAAGATGGTTATATTTAGGAGGTTTTAGTGAAAATAGAAAAGCCATTTGTTTTTGTTTTCTAACAAAAGCTATCTTCACTGGAGTACTTTTTAAAAGGCCACTGAAATGTATAAAATGGTCAGATGGGATGGTGGTATCGGTGTAGATGCCTCTTCACATGGCAATAGCAATACACAAATATGAAAAACAGGTTAGGGCTTTCAAATGACTTAAAGATTACTTTGGCTAGCACAACAGTTTTGGACAGCACTCAAATATAGATATGTGAAATGCAGTGAAGTTATACTTGATTTTTTAGTATGACTGAATACTACTCAAATGAAAAATGGGAGGGAATGGCTAAGGGCTGTTTTAAAAAATAGTTCGTAGACATTCTGTGGCTCCATACAATTTTTAATTTAAACCATTAAAAAGTAATGGATTTTATTAAACATTTATTTCGGAGCAGCCTAATTTGCTTTAACACACATTTGCCATAGGGAAATATATTCAAGCATGTCACGTGGGGCTGAAAAAAAAATCCAAACAAATATACACGAATATATACAGTTTCACTCAGTACCGGCTAAAATGAAGGTGAAGGTTACAGGATCTAACATCTTGCACTACAACCCTTGTTCTTTTCTTTTTAAAAAGTGACCAACAAAGGCAAAAGAGAGAAGTTTTTATATAATTAATCTACTTTCAACTGACTTTTAAAGCATCTTTTATAGGAAATTAATGCATATTGCACAACAGTGAAAGCAAAGGTCTCACAAAATCTTTCTGTTTTGGGGTGGTGGGCTGGAAAATATAAGCTTAGTTTTCTACTTGTATTTTTAAAGGGTGTGAACATCTCTGTAAATGTAAAGCTGTGAAAATACTGTACAAGGAAAAATTCTGGTACAAGAATAATTAGAAGGTCACACACACAAATTCAAACTGGAAAAAAATTGGCAGGATAAGAAAAAAACCCAGGAACTGTGACACAACAACAAAATAAAGTAATTGTCTGTGAGAGCAGAAAGCTTTTTTCGATGCATGTGTTTATGTACAACTAAGGCTTACTGGTTAAATATCTGAGGCTTATCTGGCCTTAAACACTTTCCTTATATGCAGTAGCTGTAAACAAGATTTCTCAGTCATTATGTCTTCTCAGCAGCTGCTTTTACACATGAAACAATGATCTTTGTTTAAAAAACACACACACCCAGGTAAGGGCATTTGGCAGAATATCTGAAAATGACAGTCTCCAAGAAATCTTCCCAGGCTTCCAGTGACTTCCATGCTGTGGTCCACTGGAGTTACTAATTATGTGCAATCTGATGACTTGCAGCTGGAGTAAACAATTTTATTTGGAAAGCTTGCTGATAACTCTGATCAAGGCCCCATTTTCATCTTTTAACCTCTGGTTGTCTGCCTTCAGGTCTGGCAGCATCTGTCAGATAGGGAAAAAAGTATAGATATGTGATGTCTGAAAAGGAACAGAATGATAAATACAAGTCCAAAGACAATCCGCCTCCTTTTCCTGCAAATACCACCCAACATCCAACTAACAGTTCAGAAGGCGAGACTTATTGGCACTAGCAATTTTCTGATTTTGTAATATACATGTATACCAATAATATTACTGCAAACTAAAGCATTAAATAAAAGAATTCTCCACAGATTTAGCCAGTCCTGCTCAAGCATGCAGAAAGCTGTTTATATGGGGGCAATGGGAGGAATTTCAGGGAATTCCTAAAATACTATCCATTTCAATCCTAAAAAGAAGGTTCACAAAACAAAATGCTTCATCAATTGAGATAGGTTACACAATATGCCTGTTAGTGTCATTTCATATCCACTTGAATAAACTAGTCTTGAACATTAACTTAATCATTTCTTTTCAATTATATGGTCACTGCTTTGTTCTAAGTAACATAACAAATCCATACAGGTTTAATCAAGTTTTCATACTCACAGAAGCAGGAGAAAATGAAAGTTTAATGAGTTTTAGAGGGAAATCAGCAACTACATTTTCCCATTTAACCAGACACCCCACACAAACACACAGAAAAAAATGCTGTTTTTCAAGAATACAACAACTCTAATACTACATTCTTCTTGGTTCTATATTTATCCAGAGAGTTTCACTGAAACAGAAGGAGCACAAAGCTGGGCCAGATATGGAATTTCCTAGCCCTGACATGACAGCATAGATTCATCCACAAGTACCTGTCCTGGACCAGCAGTGTATAGCAAGAGAAAGCCATCCTAAGATGGAAGGTCACCTTTGCCAAACTAAACTTCTGTCCAACTAATAATGGCCAGAAAGTCAAAGGTAGATATTTTCACCACATCTAAAAAGGGCTCATTTATTATTTAGGTGTTTTAAAAACTGTTACAGTACTGTTCAATACCACAACATCAAAAGGCTCTCAATGTGATTTTAAAAAGATCAATGGTCAAACTTTACCCACTCACAGAATTATATGGTTTTTAAGTATGTACTAATATAAAAATGAAGGCCTCCCATTAACCATTTAAAATTATTGGACTCACACACTAATTTGGCTTCTTCTGAAAACAGAAAAAAATCTCACATACATTTGGCTAAGATAGTAGTGTTACGACAAAATCTGTCGAGATAGTAATACTGAGGCTCCATCAAGTCAATATCCTGAAGATACTTCAGAGACTGTACAATATAAAAATTGTTGTACTCCTAGAAGTAATGAGGCCCACCATACATGTAAACAACATTCTTTCAGCAGAAGATAAGGCATTTGGGTCATGGAGGTGATAAATGCCTCACCGAGTGTCCTCACTCAAGCAGTAAGCGTCTTATATGACAGAGAGTGTTCAAACAGTGTTGGATTTTCTTGAATAAATCATCTGTTTTCCAGTTCTGCCACTTGGTTGAAACTATCTTTGTCAACTGAACCATGACCCTGTTGATTGTCCTGAACCTCTTAATTTCTTTCAGTACTACTGACTACTACAACTTTGTGGCTTTGGGAGTACTGTTCCAACAATGGCTCTGATCTTTCCTGACAAATAGGGCCCAGATGGTGCTAGGGGACTGCTGCTCTATGCTGTGGGCTTTGATTTCCAATATTTTAAATGCCTACATCTTGTTTTCCATGCTTTGATCAGTCACACCTTTTTTCCAGGGCTGATTACTATAAAATACTTTTTGTATTTTGTGATACCCAACATACTGGGTATCAAAACTATCAAACAACTTTATCTTAAACAAAAGTTTCATTTAAAATAGCCTATTATATCTGCATGCTCGTTCTGCATTAGACACTGAAATAGCTATATACTTTGCTAAACTAGACTCTGCTTGACATGAAGCAAATGCATAGAAGCAGCTTTCTCTTTTGGTATTTTAGTGCGTACATGCACAACCACAACCACAGAGCATTAGTATAGCAAAGTAGCTGTATCCAGTCCACCTCATCTAATTTATTACTTCAGCATATGTACATAGCAGAGAGGTTTACGTATGAACACCACAACTTGATCACATGACTGATTTTACAACATGTATATAAACATACTCTTTATTCATGTTTGCTAGCCTCCTAGGAGAACTATGGTAGCCTGGATTTCAAAATTCTACACTCTATGGAAGAGAGACAAAGGTACATTCCTCTATTCCATATCTCTTGGTTCCATATCGCTTGAACTTATCTGAGGAAATGTGTGAGGTTTTTCCAATGAAAAGACAGACAAAATATCTAAGACCTTCCTGCTCAATAAGACAGAGATATAAATAGGAAGGACTAACTAAAATAATTCGTGTAAACCACAAAATGCTTCTGGTGTTAAAACCATCACAAGCCTTGATGACTACCAAATTTAACTCAAGTTAGGAACTATGTAGATATAGTGACAAAATGACAGATTCAACTTAATGCAAGATATTGCACATATACTTAATGCAAGATAATAGGACTGAAGCATTTCCCATTGCCAGTGTTTTCTTTTTACATGCATTGCTTCCAGTGAAAGGACCATTGAGAACACACAATTAAGATTTAAAGTTCAGTTCCCCACTGTTTTTATGTACATCTGAAGGAAGGAATATTACTAGATTATAGTGGTTCCCATTTTCAAATCAACCTCCCTAGCACTTGTAGCCTAGTGCTTGCAAATTTAATATAAAGACAAACTGCCAATATGAGATGCACTAGAGCTATCTTAACAAACCAATTTCCTAAACTAGACTCTAGCATCAAGATGTTTGGAATCAGGCAGGTCTAGAATGCTGGAAACCAAGCATGGAAGACAAAGTTTCTTATTTCTTAAGCAATAAGCCAGTCTTCAGTCACATAAGCATAATTAGCAAGAGCTGCAAGCCATGACACTAGCAGAAGTTTAACATGTGCCTGGCTACAAAAAGAAAGGAAAAGGAAAATTACAAGTCCACAGAACGTAGGTGCCTGCAGCTTGATAACCACTCTGGTCAAGGCCCTATTCTCAGTCAGCAGTCGGCCATTTAAACGCCCCAAAGTCTGAACTTGCTTTACTTGATATTGTTTCTGCAGAAATCAAAGAAACAGGAACCAAGATGAGAGGAATTCAATGTGCATACTGAAAATATATCAGTGGTGAAGATAACTAAAAGGAAAAAGAAAAAGATGTAAAGAGAACTCTTTTCTTAGCTGAAAGTAATTTCGTGTAAAACATAGACAACATACTTTAAGGACAACTTGTGATGACACACAGTTTTCCAAGGAATTTCATTGCAACAATGAACTGGTTTATTTCTGTATGAGGTCATACAATTATGTTCTTAGTTAACCAACCAAGCAAACAGAAAATAAAAAATGAAGGTGGGTGTGAATACATCACACTTGAAGAGCTATACAATATAAATTATCTAACTTGAAAACATGCTCGTTCTCCACTTGCCCATCCAAAAGAGATCAGGTCTACAGTTCTTCAAGTTAGAATATTCCAAGATGCTCAAGGGACATCCATTGTCAAATGTGGACTAACTACCTTTATTCTATTGAGCTGTGGCCTGGTCTTTGTCTTGTATGTTTTGGAAATATTTTTATTTAAACTACTCTTAAGAAGAAATGTATTACACTTATGAAATCTGTACTGGGACTCAGTTAGTTACCAGATATTATTCTAAGTGCTGCTGCCATCCTTTAAAGCCCTGAACAAAGTTTATCCTGGGACCTAGTCTGCTATGATGGCATGGTGAGATCTTCAAAGGGCTGCCTTCTCCACACACCAGAGACCTCTGAGGTTAGTGCAATGACCATGAAGAACACGGGTTTGAAATAACAACATTCTCATTACAGAGCTGAACACATTGTTTTAAATTCTGGTGGACTGCTAACTCATGGGGGAATTGGTAAACTTGTTTGCAACAGCTACTTTATCAATGCTTTTGATCACTGTTTTTTACAATGGATTTAAAATTATAATGTTTACTGTTTATAAATTCATTTGTGAGTGTGCCACAGTATTTTTGCAATCCAATGACTGAACATACATTTTTTTTTAAATAAAGAAAAATGCCATCTTCCTGCTATTTTCCTTTTGGGATTGATTTTTTCTCTTCTTCCTAACAGATGCTTCTGTGTAAGTCTTTCAAACCTCCTGATCCAAAATCCATTCCTATCTTGATTAAGTCTGCAGACTACCTATAGTAGGGTCTGCTTGCTATCAAGCGAGCATTTTCCTTCTAGAATGCCCTTTGGCAGACCAGATCTATATGTAGTTACTTTTTTGGTCACTCACAGGCCAATGTTATCAACAGGAGTAAAATATTCATAGTTTGGATTAATTAAATTAAGGCTGGACAGGAATTGGTGAGGCATACAAAAGGTTAAGGCAGTTAAACAGCAGCAGCTTTTCAGTGGATTGATCTTTGAAAAGTTAAAGAAAAAGATCAAGAATAGTTACAAAAACAAGACCAGTCCTGCTTAGACCAGCAGAGGCCTACCTAGTCCCGCATCCAGCATCTCATAATGGCCAAGACCTTCAACAGTCCTCCTTCTGTAGTTGCGTTGAAACAAAGAGGTCAATGTCTGGATAGCCCCAAACATTGCATATGCAGAGCAGAAAGGGTTGACGTAGTCGCCACTCTTGGCATGCAGATGGGATCTTGCTCAAGGAGTCTGCCTGAAGGTTGTACTCTCCCGGAAGGTGAATGGCAATTGGGAAGATACTTTATCAAGTGCAGCACTCCCACAACTCTAGTGTCATTTGAAGCAACAAACAGGACCGAGTTCTGCCTTGTTTGTTCACATAAAACGTGGTAGTGTTATTTGTCAATATTTGTATTATGGAATGCTCCTCAAAGCATCTCATGGCCTTGAAAATCACGAGCAGTTAAAGGTAGTTGATGTGATGAGCTGCTTCCAGAGGTGACCAAGGTTGATTATGAACAGTGGGCCCCCCAACCCAGCATCAAAGTGGTCATTGTAATGGAAGCCTTTGGTTTCAGAGACTGAAATGGCATATGGATACATACGTTTTTCCTGATAATCTACCAGTTGAGGGATTTTCGAACCCAGCTCAAGATCGAAAAAGGAGCTTGCTGTGAAGATCTCAAAGAGGATTGAAAGCATGGAGGAACCGCTGCTGAAGCGGGCACATGTGGATATGCACGAAGAGTGTGACCAATGTGGTGGAACCCATGTGTACCAGAACATTTTGAATGCCTTTCACCTTCACTCTCTTGAGAATGCGACAACATGTGATCACTTTTTTGGGAAGGAAGATCCTATTGAGGAGAAAATCGAAAATGAACTGATGAACCAGATGGAACAGGTCAAGTTGGATTTATCTGGATTCACCATGAGACCGAGGTATCATAGAAGGCGAAGTGCGAAGTAAATGTTCTCCTGGAGGCATACCAAAGACTAAGAAACTAGGTGCCAATCGTCGAGGTAGGTGTACACCATGATGTTGTTGGTTCTGAGGTAGACTGCTATCTCTGCCATCTCCTTTGTGAAAACTGCTGGGGCAGTTGACAGTCCAAATGTTAAGGCATGAAACCAGTATGCATAGTTCTTGATGCAGAAGGCCAGAAATCTTTGGTAATTTGCATGGATCAGCATTTTACCAGTAATGTGTTTTGACAGCTGCACTTTCTTTCCCCCTCCTTCTCTGCCAGAGTGACATGAGGATGTTGTCTTGAAGGTAACTGAGTCTCAGCCACTATGATGGAATTCGGCTTTAAAATGGTGCAACAGCCAAGGCAAGTCAGAGTCATCAGTACCCAGTTGTCACTTTTCCCAAATTAGGTGGCACGGACAAAGGGTTGGACTAGGAGGATTTCACAACTTGCAGCAAGTAGGGAGGAAAAGACAAGTATGCAGCAGAGGAGGCAGCCCATTGGGCATCTCGGAACAGCAGATGGCCAACAAGCTGTGTCAACTGTTTGACTTTGAGACCCAAAGGCATGGCCATCTGCAGGACCTGGAGGGTAAACAGCCTTAAATCATTCGTCGGGGATGGGGCATTAATGGTTGAAACCCTTGGTTCCGGTGAGCGGTCAGGAAAGCACCAAAGTGCAGGAATCAACCCCAGACCATAGAGGGAATGGGGTTCATAATTGACATTGGAAAAATTCACATAAATGGAATTGGCCGATCTTACAAGGGAACTGTACCCACTGGAAGGATATAGACATGTCTGCCAGAGAGGAAGCATTGGAGGTTTCAGAGGTCTAGACTCTCAAGCACTTTTTTCAGTGTCAAGGAACCATCAAAGACACCTGTTCCACGCATCAGTGGTGTGGTGGCACCAAGAACACAACCTTGGTTGAGACATGGGCCCTTTTTGTAACAGCCCAATCTCATCGTCAGAGGCATAGGTGAATGAGCCCTGACTAATTTCATGGGAGCTTCAAAGTTGGGAGAAATTGTTTCAGAAGTAGCCCTTTTGGGCCTTTGGTAATTCAGCAGCTAGGACTGGTGGTTTGGCATGAGTTTTTTTAGCCATTTTCTTGTCCCTTTTTCTTTCTGGCCTCCTTGTAAGCCTCCCCCGGTGTCAGGGGTTTCTCTGGTGAAGGAGTAGGCTCCTTGGACTTTGTCTTCTTTGAATGAGAAGCAGTCACTTCTTCTGCCAAATGTTTCATGACAAAATTCATTGAAAATGTTGAAGAAGGAACAGGTTTTCCTAAAGTGGATGTGGGGACCAGTGTTGAGAAGCCCACATCTGACTGCTTCAACCCTGTCTGGGACTTCAAGATTGAAGCATAGGAGGAAGGCGAGAGGGCCTGTTGCTACAGGGAGGAACGAAGCTTTGCCTCCCAATTCTTCCTTGTTTGAGACGTAAAGATCTGGCAATAAATGCATTAGTCGATGGACTGTCCTTCACCTAAGCAAAGAAGACACTGAGAATGCTCATCTGTCAGGGAGTTTACCAAAACACTGCTCACGCTGCTTGAAGTGACTAGTGGAGGCCATACTGAACTAGGCCGTAAGCACCATACTCATGGAGTGAAATTACTCAAAAGCAGAATCCATCACAACCCAAAGCTGGACTGGAAGAAGTTCTCATCACAGAATAAAGCAGTCCAAATCATAGAAGAACAGGCAAAGTCTGAAGAACTATCGAGTTCGAGTAGTGAAGGTTCCCGAACTGGCTGCAGCACGGACAAAAGGAACTGAGGGGTTTTGGCAGCAACCAGGCCTCATATAGTCTCAGGATGGTGGGTGGAGTTACTGCCAAAACCTTTTCTGCCTAGTGATTCTAGGAGGTTCTGAACAGTGCTCTGCACCTGAACAGATTACCCAAATGTGTGATTCACAGAGATCATGAAGAAGAAATTAACTTCAATTGCACTGTCTTATAATCTCTTCACAGAAGCAGCCATTGTGCTCCAGCTAAACTCTTAAAAAGTGCTGAAAAATACTTTTATTCTTAGAACCCTTTTTCTTTCCCTTGCCTTATTTAATCTCTTTCAGAAGCTGTTGAACCTGAAGCCCTGGAGCCTTCCCAAATAAATTAAACACAGCCTATTCCAGTCCATTTCCATCATGCATGACTGTGACCTCATTTCTCAAGCCCCACAGCAAACCAACTCTATACAGATGTCTGAATCACAAATTTTAATTCTATCCTTTTAATTCTGTTTGGTGCTTCTGCTGAGCATAGGACTGTCCAACGTACAAGAGCTAATTAATTCTTTACTATCTTACCCAATTTCTGACATTTGACCACTGTGGTATTTTCACTCCTCTATGCTATATAAAGCATCCCTGAGAAACATACAGTCACTGAGTTTTTACTGGGACAAGTATAATAAGACATGTTGCCAAGATTGAAAAAAACCTACACATGTGTACTTCAGAAAAACCACAGGTGTGTGTGTGTGTGTGTCTAGAGAGGACTCTCATTCATCAGTGGTGGATAACTTACTTTGAGTTCCTCTTCCATTTCAGATATTCGCCTTTCTAGAGCTCTTCGTTCCTATAGAAAAGTAGTTGCATTAAAAACAAACAGTACAACATAGGTATGTAGATAAAATAAAGTGAATATAGTGCACTCTAAGTTTTGGAAATCAAACATTCATAAGCACAGTGAGGACATGGACTTGCGAGGCCAGTGATGTGTAAAACAATACTTTCAATTAAAAAAAAAGACAACAACACTACATTTGGTCTAATTCCACAAATTCAAACCACTCTTCATATAAAGCTAAACAGGCAACAGGTTTTTGTCACTTCTGCCTGATATTGCTCTCTTAGTTAGATTTGGTGGAAATTCAATGTAACATATAAGGAAGTCAGGTGAAATATCCTAGCTCTTCTTAAAAAGATAGAAGCACAAAGCACGTGTTACCACAGACAAGCAAATGTTAGTTTGCGCTCTGTACTATACCCAAGTAGTGCTAATATTGCACATATTTTGTCATCAGTTATACAATGGACAATAAGGTTGGGTTTTTTTTTCACAGCTTGAGTTTTGCCTCAGGTTAAGAAAATGCAGTGAGTTTAATTTTTTTTTAAAAAAAGCTGCTTTATCCAGGATTTAACATTAAAGTATTTCCAATGTGTGAAAGACAAAAGCAGATTACTGCAAAGTGTATGTGAACATCTGCATTCAAGTGTTATGCAAAATAAGAGCATCAGCTGAGGTGTGTAAAACTCTGGTTAGATCATACCGCCCCGTTGATACTGACTCTTGTCGGTCACCTTTCAGATACAAACCATTTGAATTCAGTTTAATCATAGTTAAGTGAATAACTAGGCAAAAATTCCTAAATTTAAGCACTTAAGTTTAGTAGAGTAACAGTTTGCTGTGGTCAGCTTCTAATTTATTTAACTCTCTCTGATAATAACCGAGTTTCTGATAAATACTTCCCTTGTAGCAGTGCTCAGTTAAGTAACCGTGAGTTGTTAACTGACAGTAAGCTTTAAAAAGCTACAATATCATTTTAAAAGTTGTAATGTTGGGAAATAAAAGATATATTCTTTTAGCACACTGAATACACCCATTCTGTTGAAACTGCCACAGAACTACAGTGTAATGGGGAAGCAGGATACAAGCAGTCTCTAAACTTCATATATACAAAAAAGCACCACCAGCCAGCTATACTGTAGTTTACATTTTTTGTAGGTCTTTTGACATGTTCAAATTAAAACTGGTACATGTTGTATCATTATTATGCAACTGATATGACTACACAAAACATAACAACCACATTCACATCCTTATGTGGAGATGTCATTTGAGACCCTGTATGGTGCATCCTAACTTTAAGTGTGGTTCTTGGTTGCCTACCACTTGGTAGGAGTGGTGTTCCTCAATCAACACCCACTATAAAATAATATTGAGTTTTGTCTAACACTTGAGAATGTGTGTAAACATAAGATTCTGAACCAAGCAGGAGCTCTACCATGTAAGAAGATACTTCTTGAATACACAAAGAATCTTTCCCAAATTAGTCCACAATCTAAAGTTCTAATTCAAGATGTCCCTAACACTTATACAGCTGACCATTAGTTACAACAAACCATGGCTTTGGGGACTGTAGTTCAAAACACCTGCTTGAAGGAACCTAGCTTAAACTATGCTTACTTAGAATTCTGAAAAAATTAGAAATCTATTCTTCCTACATTTACATAAACAGGATAGGCATATAATTTGTTGTTTTTACTTTTAGCAACTTATGAACTTAAACTTTTCTGGAACCAAAGGAGGAACACTTACCCTTTTTTCCATTTCTAGCAGAGACCTATCAGTAAATCTTTCCTGCCGCTGAAACAGATAAGTAATATCATGCAGAGTCATCCACAACAGAGACATAGTGGGAAAATAAAATCCAGATAAATGCACTTTGCTCTATTACTAATATGTATTCATTTTCTCTACAGAATGCCAAAATTCCAAACAGTTCTGGAACTACTGGCGCTAATGGCCACTTTTCTATCTGTTTCACTGACAGCCAGTGTGCTGTAATTGTAAAGAACGATGGACTGGGACTTGGGGGATCTGGGTTTTAGCCCCAATTGACCCATGAAACTCATTTGTGGATGCCTTGAGCGCTCTGGTTCATCTGGTCTATCTCAAAGGGCTACTGGGAAGGGGAGGGGAGGCCTTGACAGGATACAAATGTAATCCAACAATCAGTCAATGGAATATGGGAAATGGAAAAATGAAAAAGACACAGAAAACTATGCGACAAACACCAGATGCTTAACTAAAGCTGCTTAACAATACAAGCCACTGTTTTGCCAGATTCGTTCTAATAAAATATGGCATGGCAAATATAGAATTGTATTTTTAATCCTTTTGAGTCACATTTATAACAAAAAACACTAAATTGCTGGATGAGAAGATCCCATGAAATGCGACATTACTACAAGTGCATGCCAAACAAATTCTTAGATCCTTAGCGCTGCATATTTGATTAAAAGTATGGAAATACAAACCTGAGTTGCCTTTTCTAACTGCAGCTTAAGATCCGTCAATTCCATGTTGGTATCATGCAACTGTGCTTTCAATTTCTCATTTTCAGCTACAATCTGTTCATAAAGCTGGCAAACATGAAAGACATTTTTGAGAATCATTCAGTTACTCAAATCTGCATTATGGTTAAGCTTAAACTGTGAAATCCAATCCTAAACCTTTGTCATGAGAATTCAAAGATCACATTGTAGTGTGCAAACTGGGAATGGTTCTGAACCATTCAAAGGTCTGTGGTAAATATGGTAAAAAGGAATTTATAATTTATTTTTAATTTTTTAAAAAGTTTATTTCCAAAGAATTGAGGACTTGGTTTTAAGAACAAATAACCAGTTCACCATATCTATGCTGTTCCTCAAATCAGCAAGACACAAGCCTTGAGAAAATGTATTAATATGACGATGTGAAAGCATTAATCATCTTTTTATTTTATTTTCTGTCCAATAACATATACTTCATGAAGTATTAATTCTGAATATGCAAGTTTTATACAACAAGCTTACATGAAAGCCAAATGATAAATCTATTTTCCTTCTTAAAATACTTATGTAGAAAGGGTAAGATGCGGTAGCCAAGGGACAAGAGAGTAGAGTCAGAAGGAAGTATCCAAAAAATATGGAGGATTCGAACCTCACAAATGATTTGCTCAAGGACAGCCTCTGTAGCATAGATGCCAACTTTCTAGAACATGAAGCAAAATTATTTTGCTATGCTAACTTACCTGGCATATAAGGCAAATCATCCCTCTTTCAAAAGTGAGAGGGAGCAGGGGAAAAAATCCAGAAGGAAGAGGAACACTGTTGGCTCTGGACTCACCTAAAGGCTTGAAAAGTATTCTCCAAGGCTGTAGGTGAGTCTATTTTACTCCTCTATACTGCCTTCCTTTATAAGAAGCACAGAATTAATCAATCTGGCTCAGGACTCACTTAGCATTTAAGGCAGGGGTCCTCAAACTTTTTAAACAGAGGGCCGGGTCATGGTCCCTCAAACTGTTGGAGGGCCGGATTATAATTTGAAAAATCTATATAAATAAAAATGTAATGTTCGTTTGTGGGATTAACTAACACAAAAACCACTGGACAAATTGACACCAAATTTGGACAAAATACATCTATCAGGCCAACAAGTGACTATCACTCATAAAAACACTGAAAAACACAGTGAAAGAGACTTAAAAGGCAACATCCCCCCAAAAATACATTACAATACATGCGCAAAACCATATATATATATACACACAAACACACACATCTATGCATATACATACACAAAACGCATATACAGAAAGGGGGAAAGAAGGAAGGAAAGAAAGAAGGAGGGAGAGGAGGCAAAGAAGGAGGGAAGGAGAGAAAGAAAGAAAGAAAGAAAGAAAGAAAGAAAGAAAGAAAGAAAGGTAGAGAAGGAAGGCGAGAAGGAGGGAGAGAAAGAGAAAGAAAGAGGGAAAGAAGGGGGGAAGGAGAGAAAGAAGGGTAGAGAAGAAAGGAGAGAAATAAAGAGGGAAAGAAGAAGGGAAGAAGGAGGGAAGGAAAGAAAGAAGGGTAGAGAATGAAGGAAGGGAGAAGGAGGGAAAGAAAGAGAAGAAAGAGGAAGAGGGAAAGAAAGAAGGGAAGGAGAGAAAGAAGGAAAGAAAGAAGGGTAGGAGAAGGAAGGAAGGAGAGAGGAAAGAGGGAAAGAAGAAGGGAAGAAGGAGGAAGGAAAGAAGGGAGAGAAGAAGGAAGGAGAGAAGAGGGAGAGGAAGGAGGAGAAAGAGGAAAGGAGGGAAAGAGAAGAAAGAAGGGAAAAAAAGAAGGGTAGAGAAGGAAGGAGGAGAGAAGGAAAGAAGGAAGAGAAAGAAGGGTAGAAGAAGGAAGGAGAGAAGGAGGGAGAGAAAGAGAGAAAAGGGAAAGAAGGGGAAAAGGAGGGAAGAAGAGAAAGAAGGAAAGAAAGAAAGAAAGAAAGGTAGAGATTGAAGGAAGGAGAGAAGGAGGGGGAGAGAGGGAAAGAAGGAGGGAAGGAGAAAAGGAAAGAAAGAAAGGTAGAGAAGGAAGGAGAGAAGGAACGAAAAAGAGAAAGAGGGTGGGAAGGAAGGAAAGAGACAAGGAAGGATGGAACCAAAGAGAGAACATCAGGAGAGAATGCTTCTGGAACACAGCCATACAGCCCAAAATCAAAGATGATGTCTGTGTGTGTGTGTGTGTGTGTGTGAAGGGAGGGGGTTCTTGCCCAGCAGAGGAGGAGGAAGAGGAGGAGGGTCTTGGCAGGTGCTTCCCTGGTGGAAGGAGACCCCTCCCTCCCTCCCTCCCTCCGCACTGACCCCCTCCCTCTGCTCCTTGCCTTGCCTTGCAGGGAAGCCCATGGAGTCCCCGCCCTGACAGGCAGAGGCTCGGGAGGCGCACCATGCCCGGGATGCGGCTGCTGCTCCGCCTGGCTTTGCTCTGCGGATGCACGCAGCTCGTGGCCCCTTCCCGAAGGCAGAAAAGCTGGCTTGGCCCAGGGAGGAGGAGGACGAAGCGGCCCCGAAGCTGCTTCACCCGCAGCCTCCTCCCCTTCTCCTGCCACCAGCAGGAGAAGAGCCAGCTGGGCCCAGGGAGGCGGAGGATGAAGCGGCTCCGAAGCTGCTTTGCCCGCTGCCTCCCCCACCTTCTCCACACCCTGCGGGCCGGATAAATGCCCTCGGGGGGCTGGATCCGGCCCCCGGGCCTTAGTTTGGGGACCCCTGATTTAAGGAATGGCTCCTCCAGGTACTATCTATACCCACTAGCTCACCCCTTATTGTCCCAAATGGGGATAGCAAGTTCCAAGTAAATTTGTTAGTTGCCTACAGGAAATGCTCCTCTGAACACCAGCAGAGTGTTTTTATGTAAGAAGGGCAAAATAAAACAGTGCTAGATGACATCAGGAGTAGGGTTTCTGGTGAAAGGTTATTCCATGACACTATCCAACTCATAGGATTAATCCTCCAGCTCCTGAGACCTATCTGATTTCCCAACTCTTGTACTCATTGTGACTTAAGTCAGTTCGCTATACCCTAAGTTACTATGGGTTACACAGTTCTTCAAAGCTTCCTATGATACAATTGGCACCAATGAGAGGAATGTAGAGAGGAGCAGTGTAAGAAGAATGGGAATGGGAATGAAGAGACATGCACCAGCATTAGAAAGAGTAAATAAAGAAAACATCATATGAGGAGACCTAAGCACAACAGAAGAAGCCAATAGAGGAGAGTGATATTTAAGATTTGAGGGAATGTCAGTCTACAAGTGATTAATTGAAAGCAGCTGCAGGCAATGGCAAAGCTACAGCCAAAATGATAGAATGCATGATGTTGATAAACACCAAATTATAACACATTTTGGATTATGAAAAAAAAAACAGACAGAAGACACAAACATTTTTTGGAAGAGCCAGAATCAGTAACTGAGAAAACAATCTGGACTCTAACTAGGGAAGTATATTGCTGAGCAGGAGGCCAAGGACATAAGCAAGAAGCTTAGCAAAAACTTTGCTCTATTTATGCATTTTGTTGGCTAAATTATCTCAGGCCTGAACAAGCTATATACTGAATAAATAAATAAACACAGTCAGAGATAATTATGTGACAGATATAATAATTTATAATACAAAACTTATAATAGAGTTAATGACAGTTACCTTTTTAAAATCTGCTGTATCTTCTTTTTCTGATTTACTGGAATATGATTTACGGTCTTCCAAGTAACTGTAACCAGTCCGTCCTAGTATTGAATCATAACGATCTCCTGAGGATCCCGTCTCATATCTTTAATAAACAAATATGTATTTTTAATTTAAAGTTCTTTCACAATTCAGTCCAGACATTATGCCCTGGATTGGCGAAACTAATTTAGGAACTAAGCAACCATAGTTCACAGACACTGCTTCCTCACCCCCTCTATCTTCCCCATGAATACTAAAACGATACCTCAAGTGACTTTTGGTCATTTGACTGCTAATAAGAAACAACATAGCTGTTCTATTGCTGTCAGACAATGACTCTAATAGCTGAAGATTTTCCTCCTTTGTCCTGAATTGCGCAGCACATTCTTTTGTCTATGCACATTGTGCTAAGGAGTTCCTCTACTGGGGAGTAGTTTTTTAAGTAAAATGTCAGGACACATTTCCAATTGAGAAAGGTATATGAGAGAAGAACACACCACAGAGCATTTGAAAGAAATGAGACCATGGTTCAGGATGAAAAGATTTGCAGGTTGTATCTGTGCACAACCTCCTTCATAATGTTTCAAGAATAATGCAATCCAGGCTCTTCGTTATCCTTGTCTTAAGTGGTGTCGGGAGGATGTGTAGAATTCCAGATTTTATTCAGTTACTACTCCCATAATTCCTCATCATTAGCCACAAAGAATACAGGTAAAGGCAGCTATAGTTCAAAAACATATGGTGGACCACACATTCCATACCTGCTGTTGGGAAGTATTTCTTCTAATTTGGATGAGGAACATATTTCATAGCCATGGACAGAATGATTCTGACTATGGCTTGGCAGGGTGAACCACAAGGTATACTGGCTGAAGCATGAGCAAGAGGTCTTTATTTTTGTTTCTGCCTATTCTGAACTTTCATATTGTGGCACATTGGCTTCAAGAAGCAAAGCAACAGCTATAACCATGATTTCTCATTCTCAACATCAATATATCATATGCTGACTAAAGTCTCTTTGAAACCATGTCATAATTCTCAAACCATGTTTTGTCAATTTCTACATCATAGCAAATCATAGGCCAAGTATAAAAAAGTCGTTTAGCATGGTATCTGATCACAGAATTTCAGCAATACTGAAAATGGGTTTTGTAGGTTTTTTTGGGCTGTATGGCCATATTCTAGAACATGGCCATACAGCTGAAAAACCTACAACAACCCAGTGATTCTGGCCATGAAAGCCTTCGACAATACTGAAAATGCTATGCAAATGCAAACAACAAATAACAAAATAAGAACACAATTTTCACATCCCATCAATTTGAAGATATCTAAAAATGAATTCAAACAATTGTATTTGATCAATTATCTCCAATATTAAGCAACTGATGAAAAGCTTAGTATTATATAAAATTTGCCAATTTCATAAAACCTTGATTTCAGTTTGGTGAGTCACACTTTTACTTTCCATTTGTAGCTAGTCGATCATATTGACTGGAACAAATTGAATGTGTAGTTTTGTATTCCCATAAAGGATTATGGTGGTGCTCTGTAGCTTTGATAACATAAAAGCACCGGCGTTGGAAAATTATTACAAATATATAATCTTTTACAGGTTTTGTAATGATTGAAAGATATCCTACATGCTTTCCGAAATCTTTTAAATCATTGTAAGTAGGTACAATTAAGAACTACATATTAATCCTTATAAACAGAATAAAGTATACAGAACACACGTACCTTGAAAGGCTATCACTCTGGAAAATAAAGAGAGGATGCCATTTTAGAAGACTTGGACAACAAATGATTCAGAACACAACAGTCATAAAAGTTAAGAAAATAAATGTTCGAATAAAAGTTAGAAAATGAAACTATTCTATGGATTCTGGTTGTCATGTACTATTTAAAGAAGTTTACAAGCAAGAACAAAATTCATAAATAAATGTACTTAGGTTTCAACTAACTCATTAATCTGCATCAGTGACTTAAAGATGCCAGTGGGATTTTCAGTTCTTCCCTTAAAATAACAAGTCTTCCTCTCATTCTGAAGTGCTTTTCAGAGAAGTCTCATTTTCTGAACCAGCTTGCCACTGAACTGGGCTGAAGCCACTATTAAAGCTATGCAGGACAAAATCCTTCCTGGACACACAATTTACAAAATCTTTGTATGACCCCAGAGACACAAATGAAAGTTGATTATGACAGTTTCGTATAAACAAAGCATAAATAGCTTAATTTGACATGGCCATGACAATTGTACTATTTCAGAATTCATAACAGTGGCAATACAGAGATAAAGAGGGTATACTACAGTAATTTGTTTCACTGTGGTCACTTGGAACAATGGGGACAATGAAGAGAATCGCATGGGTCAGATTTTGGTGATTATACTAAATTCAGAATGAATTGCCATGCATTTTCTGTCCATGAACACATTATGTGTCCAGGCTGTACAGCAGAGGACACAGTTTTTCCTGCACATAATCTCAAGTAAAAGCAGTCTTGCAGAAAACCAAAATTACCTGTATTTCTTTTTTATTTGTTCCTTCTTCTGAATCAGACTGATGATCCTGTTCATTTTCATCACTCTGAGGGGAGAAACCTCATTTAAATTAGTGTTGTATCTGTCTATTCTGAACAACAGAACTTTCAAAAACAGTTTTTAAATCTGCAAAATACTTCGTTTAATCGAAGTTAAAAATCTCTTATTCTCACCTCACCTGATGACCTAGAGCCCTTTCTCATTTCCCCATCTACGAATTCCTTTTCTTTTCATGCTTTTTTCTCTCTCTTCAGTCGGTATTAGTTTGGCTTGTGCCAGCTTTACTTTGGACTACAAATCCATGTGACCCAATCATTAAAGTAACCTTTTCTCTCTCTAGGTATTCACTGAGCCTTTCTATCTCCTATCTCTTCTCTAACTCTTAGAAGATATGCCATTTTCTAGTCACCAAAATCTAGACAATCAGACTTCCATAGGGCTGATTCTTGACTCAACTTGAGAGTTTTTTAAACCTCAAATTATCTGTCATGATGACACAGTCCAAAATGAAGTGAGAAATAGTGCCAGAAGATGAAGCACTCAATCATCAACCAGGTAAGAAAATGGCAAAGTATGACTAACACTGTGTTTAATTACACAATTGGATTGGATTGAGTTTCTGATATACTCAAATGTGCAAGAAATTCTTAAGCTGCACAATAAATATAGTAGGAACATAGAAGGGGAAATGTAGTGACGTCGATTGAAGCAAAGCAGTCAGGGAACAGAATTTAAAGTGTGGACAAATAATATAAATATATAGAAAAGCCTATCAATATAATCATATTTCAACTTCATGTTCCAACTACAGAGGCAGAAGAGGAAGAACCAAAAAGATTTTATGGTGGCATTCAGAAGAAGATTGATAATAGATCTGAATGGGATGTGTTGATAGTATCTGGCCCTACCCACTGTGCTGGACACACACTTGACATGGTCTTCTGTCAGGGCTGGGAAGAAGGTGGCGGTGTGGAGGAGCTGTCAATCTCTCCTTTGCCGTGGACCGACCACCATCTGATCAGGTTTAGACTCGTTGCAACTTCTAACCTCCGTAGGGGTGGTGGACCCATTAAGATGGTCCGCCCCAGGAGGCTTATGGATCCAGAAGGACTCCTGATGGCTCTTGGGGATGTTTCCGCTGCCTTCGATGGTGATTCTGTCGATGCCCTGGTCGCTCACTGGAATTGGGAGCTGACTAGGGCAATAGACACGATTGCTCCGGAGCGCCCTCTCTTAAGTCGCCGAACGAAACCTGCCCCTTGGTTCAACGAAGAGTTGGTGGAGCTAAAGCGAACAAAGAGATGGCTAGAGAGCGTGTGGAGGAAAAAGCCCAGCGAGCCAAACCGAACACGTCTACGCCTTTATCTAAGGGCGTATGGCGCGGCAATAGTGGCCACACAAAATGCTTTCTACTCGGCCAATATTGCGTCCGCAAGGAACCGTCTGGCAGAGCTGTTCCGAGTAGTCAGAGGGTTGTTGAATCCCACCTCGAGTGGGTCCCCTGACGACTCGGCAGCGCGCTGTGAAGCATTTGCTCAGTACTTTGCGGACAAAGTCGCTTTGATCCACGCGGGCTTTGACACCACATTAACTGCAGTCTCTGAGGATGTAACTCAAGCATCTGCTTGTCCAGTTTTGTTGGATTCGTTTCGATCTGTTCAACTCGATGAGGTCATCAGGGTTCTGGGAGAGGCGAGGCCCACCACATGCATCCTAGACCCCTGCCCTTCCTGGCTGGTAAAAGAAGCCAGAGGGGGTTTGGCAGAGTGGGTAAAGGTGGTGGTTAATGCCTCCCTTCGGGAAGGTAAGATTCCAGCCAGCTTAAAACAAGCTGTCATCAAACCGCTGTTGAAAAAACCATCACTAGACCCCACTCAATTCGTCAACTTTCGGCCAGTCTCCAATCTCCCCTACTTGGGCAAAGTCCTGGAACGTGTGGTGGCCTCGCAACTCCAGGAATTCCTGGTGGACACGGACTATCTAGATCCGTCACAGTCTGGCTTTAGGCCGGGACATGGTACTGAGACAGCCTTGGTCGCCTTAGTTGATGATCTGCGCCGGGAACTGGACAGGGGGAGTGTGTCCCTGTTGGTTCTGCTGGACCTCTCTTCGGCCTTCGATACCGTCGACCACGGTATCCTTCTGGGACGCCTCGCGGGAATGGGTCTTGGGGGTACTGCCTTGCAGTGGCTCCGGTCCTTTCTCGAGGGTCGCTCCCAGAAGGTGTTGCGGGCATCTGCTCGACTCCTCGGCCATTGTACTGTGGAGTCCCGCAGGGTTCAATACTGTCCCCTATGTTGTTTAACATATACATGAAGCCGTTGGGAGAGATCATCCGGAGTTTTGGGGTACGATGTCATCTGTACGCAGATGATGTCCAACTCTATCACTCTTTTCCACCTACCACTAAGGAGGCTGTTCAGGTCATGAACCGGTGCTTGGCCGCTGTCTCGGACTGGATGAGGGACAACAGATTGAAACTAAATCCAGACAAGACAGAGGTACTCCTGGTCAGTCGTAAGACCGAACAGGGTACGGGGTTACAGCCTGTGCTGGACGGGGTCACACTCCCCCTGAAAGCTCAGGTACGCAGTCTGGGAGTTCTCCTGGATTCATCGCTGAGCCTGGAACCCCAGGTCTCAGCGGTGTTCAGGGAAGCATTCGCACAATTAAAACTTGTGCGCCAGCTGCGTCCGTACCTTGGGAGGGCTGACTTGGCCACGGTAGTACACGCTTTGGTTACATCCCGCTTAGACTACTGCAACGCTCTCTACGTGGGGTTGCCTTTGAAGACTGCCCGGAAGCTGCAAATACAACGCGCGGCAGCCAGATTACTAACGGGTGCTGGGTACAGGGAGTACACCACTCCGCTGTTACACCAGCTGCACTGGCTGCCAATTAGCTTCCGAGCACAATTCAAAGTGCTGGTGTTAACCAATAAAGCCCTAAACGACTCCAGCCCTGTTTACCTCTCCGAACGTATTCTCCCCTATGAACCATCAAGATTACTAAGATCATCTGGAGAGGCCCTGCTCTCGGTCCCACCGGCCTCGCAAGCGTGCCTGGTGGGGACGAGGGACAGGGCCTTCTCGGTGGTGGCCCCGCGACTCTGGAACTCTCTCCCTCTGGAGGCCAGAACCGCCCCATCCATCCTAACATTTAGGAAACGGGTGAAGACGTGGCTGTGGAGTCAGGCCTTCGATGAATGAGACAACACCATAGGACCCTGGATGGAAGTTGATGTAGACCCATCTTAATAGGACGACTGACCACTGTAGTTTTATATATAGTGTTTTTAAAGTTGTTTTTGTAATTGTGATATATGATATTTTAATGAGTGTATATGTTTTTTATGGCTGGAAACCGGGCTGAGTCCCTCAATGAGGTTGAGAAGCTCGGTATAGAAAACTGTGAAATAAATAAATAAATAAATAATCATAGGCAATAGGAATTGAAAAGGAAGAAACTGAGCTAAATGAAATCATCTTAGAGAATTTGGCCTAGGATCAAGAAAAAAGAAGTGAAAAAAATTGTTCACTGCAAACACATTCTGCAAGCAACTGAACAAATGTTTATGTGACATCACTGGATGACCATTTCAAGTCAGATGTCACTTAGTCTGAGGAAGTGCACAGTCTACAAATGTTAATGCCACTTCTTTCTCTCAATTTGAAAAGTGCTGCAAGACCCCTTAGCAAGAAGTTACGTATTTAGCTATTGCCAAAATATTATTTCCACTTCCCCACTGTACATTATGTTATTACTGCCCATATTTGATCACTATGATTCTAAAATAGTTCGCATTGTAAATTGAGGCTGGTCCATGAACCCAACTGCAAGTCTGGATCTGATCTTTGAGGATAATCATCATACATTACTACAAGAATGCTGACACTTTCTAAAAGACTCTTTGATTATTAACTGTATCAGAAATATGAATTGGCAATATGAAAGTTATAATCAAATTTGCAGCTTGTTCAGTCAACTATGCTGCATAATTTAATAAATCACTACCATGCCCATGCATAGTTGACTGAATTAGCCCGAAACTGTTTCCAACCACAGATCTATAACCCCAATGGGTTTTTCACTTACATCTTGAGTCCAAAAAGACACTCCAGTAGATCTTCGTTTTTCTCTTGGCCGTCGTCTTTCTCTTATTGATTTTGACTGGGATTTATCTTCTTCCTTTTCTTCTTCTTTCTTTCCTGATTCTATTTAAATAGCAAAGGTTTAATATTTAAATCAAGTTCAGAATTGATTCTGATAATATAACACACAATTTTACTACTACCGTGGCTTCTGAAAAGCCACTCACCATTAAATATTACAAAACAGGATCTTGAAATGTTTGAGAATATGGGACATATGATATACTCTAATGTACCATAATTATCTTTTACACCATTCTTAGCTGTAACTCAGTTAAATAAGAGTATTTCAACATAGTATTATGCAGACTTTAACCTTAAGAATCAAAGCCTAACTTATCTGCATACATTGTAACACATTTGCAAACGTATATTGATCAAAGCCTTCAGAGCACACATATTCAGATAAGTATTTGTTTAGCCAGAAGCATCAAGAATTCAACGTGCAACAGGTTCTTTTGGAGAGAGCTTGATGTTCAAACTAGCTAGATTTGTTTTTCTTTGTATTGTAATACATTTAATACAATCCAGTAATTTTCAACTCATAAGGATCTCTTACTATAACTTTAACGTAACACATCAGCAAGATCAATTTGATGTTCAGCTCCAAAATGCTTTTTATTAACTTTCACAAGATTAAGGCTGCACAAGCATATAACATTCCTTTGCTAACATGCACTTAACATCCACGTGTTTACCCTTGAATTTACATAAGAAATCACAAACATCCAGGTACTTGTCTATTTCACTGCTCCAGTCTTCAGGGCTGAAAAATGAATCTATATTAAGGTGACACAATACTCAGCCATGCTTCAAATAGAATTTTTTTTAAAGTAAATTCCACACAATGCAACAGTAACATTTAGGGCCTAAATCAAATGTCAACTAAGACTTCTCTCCACATTTGGAACATGTGCAGAGAGGGTTGTAAAAGTAGCTAGAGTTACTCCATCTTTCCATTTTGCAGAGAGAAGTTGTTCCTTTAGGGAAGAGGAGAACTGGACACAGCTCATGGGCACTATGTAAAGTCGAGCACTAGTTTAGTTTTGCCATATGGAAGGGACTTTAGCAATATGACTCCTAAAAACTTGGAAAATATAGATCCAAAGCAGTGAGGCTGCAAGTCATTCTGTATCTGTTCTACCAATTACTCATTCAGAACTGCCATATTCTCTTGAAGGGGCGATGGTTTTATAGATACTGAAAGCAAAAAAGAGTGATGGATAACACAGAAGACCTACCTCTCTCAGTTTCCTTTGCTCCACTTCTGGAATACGCAGAGGTTATACCTATAATGCTATTTGGTCTGTTTAACTGGCCTGAAGAACTAGAAGACGTGGGAATTGAAGAAGCTGTAGAAGTAGTTGAAGATGTAGTTCTATAACGATGATATGGCTGGTAAACAAGAAAAAGTCCAAATCAATTTTGAAATATTAAGATGCACATAACTGCAGGTTAAAAGCAGATCGAATAAGTTATCTCCTACATTTTCTGATCCACCACCTAAGAAATCCAAGTTCATGTCATTAAAAAAAGAAAACCATGAAATACCTCATCTATGGTTCGTGCATATCTTTGCCTATAATCTTCATCTTTACTTTCTGATTCCTTCTTTTCTTCCTGTTTTTCCTTATCTTGTTTTTCCTTTTCCTCTTTCTCTTTTTCTTCATTCTCCTGTTCTCTAGTTCGTGTTGGCCGACTTCTACCAATAGTTTTTTCAGCTTCTTGGAGGTCAGTCAGTGTTACACCCTGTAGAATATTATTAAATAATAATTATTATTGGACTCGAATAGTACTTTAAATGTTGAAACCACTAATTAATAACTCTGAGAGAACTGAAATCAGGAACACAATGTTTTGCAATCAGGTCAAGATATGGAGGACGAGAGTAGCAACAGCAGTTCAGAACATACCGTATATACTCGAGTATAAGCCGACCCGAATATAAGCCGAGGCACCTAACTTTACCACAAAAAAACTGAGAAAACGGATTGACTCGAGTATAAGCCGAGGGTGGGAAATGCAGCAGCTACTGGAAAATTGCAAAATAAAAATAGATACCAATTAAATTACATTAATTGAGGAATCTGTAGGTTATATATTTTTGATTATTTACAAAATGGTAATTTAAGATAAGACTGTCCAACTCTGATTAAATGATTATTTACCTTCTTCAATGTAAATGTGCTTATGTATCCTTCCAATAATAATAGAGAGTAACAAAATCAATGTAATAATAACAATAATAATAAAAAGAGCATGATGGAGGACCTTCTTGTGGCAACACCAGAGGCACTCCAAGTGGCCAGATACTGGTCAAATGACATTTAATCAACTACCAAGTTTGCAAACTCTGTGTTTTTTTAACCTGTTTGTTTGTTTTGTTCTATTAGAAATGTAATACAATGGTCTGGTTGCCCCTGACACGATAAATAAATAAAAAGAGTAAAATAATGAATGTAGCAATAACAACAATTATACAGTAAAATAATAAATGTATGATAATAGAGTAAAATGATAAACGTAATAGTAATAAATAGAATAAAATAATAAATGAAATGTAAATAATAATAATAACAGAGTAAAATAATAAATAACCTTGACTCGAGTATAAGCCGAGGGGGACTTTTTCAGCCTAAAAAAAGAGCTGAAAAACTAGGCTTATACTCAAGTATATACAGTATTAGTAAAAAAATAAGTAGGTAAGCCATTATTTGTGTTTTCAGCATAATAAAATTATTAAAGTGTTCTCAGTTTTACGCTATGATATTTATACCTGAGTACTGGAAATCATAATAAAATTGTACGTTTTACCCAGTCTAATTGAAAACAACACAACTTGAAATTAGTCATGAATACTCCATTGTTTTTAGTTGTACCTCATGGATAATAATAATTTTATTTCTTACCCGCCATTTCTTGTGGCAGGTTACAACATCACTAAAACACACACAATCATCGAAAAACATTCTACAAAATACAAATTAAAACATATTTCTACAAATACATATTCAAATGTATAGAACCAAGATTAAACAAGATGCAGTTTGAAATCCATGATTAAAACTGGCTGGGTAGGCCTGCTAAAAGCGATAGGTCTTTAAATAGTTTTTAAAATTCTGATAGCTCATTTAGCTTTCAACTGGATTATATTGTGTTTATTAAATTTGCATCCAACTTTTTCACTGAGAAGACTAAATGTAGGTAACAGGAAAATACAGATAAAATTATCATGAAAGCATTTTAAAAAGCATCAAGTGGACTTCAATTAAAATGAACCTGTATTCACTTGATTAAAATCTATTTGTGGATGTGGATCACTGTCTTTTGGATGGACAAATGTTTAACCCCTGCAACATGAACAAAATTCAGTACAGCAAATTTGAATTACAAAAATTACAGAGGACTCTTTAGGTATAGAAGTGGGTAGCTTTTAGTCCAAGGGCACAATTCATTTTCAGAAAAAAAATCTTAGTGGCTGCATTCCAGTGATGGGGCCAAATGTAAAAGGGTAGCACACAAAATATCACAATATTTTAATATATAGATGTAATATTAATTAGTATTTTAAACTTTTATGATAGGAATAAATCTACACAAAAATTGGGAAATCCCAAATGATATCACTGAGGGAGGTGGGCCTGAACAGGACCAGATTACCAATATAGAGGAGCTTTGGCATCTGAATTGTGCATTACCAAGCCTACATGCCAAGTGACCAACAGTTCTTATAGGATAAAATAGCATCCTTTCTTATAGATAACATCAAGAATGTTGTGGTCCTCTTTCAATAAGAGGCATGTCATCTAATATCATGGCAAATTAATGCATGGGGCCAACTGCACAGCCAAATCCATGGCCATATCGATTAGCCTTCAGCAATGTACATGGCTCAGATCTGCAGGTCACACAAAGGACACTTCCTAACTACTTGAATACCTCCCTTCCGAAGTAGTGGATCTAAAGATGACATGGTCTCAAGAGTTTATTAATGTTGTTTAATACTGTTTTAATATTTGTATACTTTAAGTTGTACTGAAATGCTTTTAGTTGTGAGCTGCTTTGAGTCTCTGTATGGAGAGAAAAAGGAGTATATATAAAAAATAAACATAACAATACAAATAATAATAGTGTATTGACCACTGTCTTCCTCAGATACATGATTGAGTTTGTACATTTCCTGCCATGTGGCATTTTCAAATACACCCTCAACACTAGAACAGGTACAGCACTTCTCCAATAAGACGCATATAATTTGATATTTATAATATCAAAGGAAGATGGTTCCCAATGCCCAACTATGGACTTGAGAAGCATGACATGCTTCATTCACTCTCAGAAATTCTGAATGATAACTTTGGCATCCATCCTTTCTCTCTTAAAACCTGGAGACTGGTTTGCCTCCCTGGATCTCTAGGACGCATACTTACATGTCCAGATCCTCCCTACCATAGACAATATCTGTGCTTCTTGATGAGTCGCCAGCTATACCAATAAAATGTCCTCCCCTTTAGTCTCTCAACTGCACTGTGATTATTCACTAAAGTGGTGGTGGTGGTTAGGTTTCATCTTCAGACCAAGGTCCAGATTTTTCCTATCTGGACAACTGACTAGCCACAATTCCAAATTCAGTGCCACAACCACAACAGACAACCCCCACTGACCCATGCTTCTGACATGATTTTTCCTGACACAAGTTGTCCTTCAGCTGAACGTCAAAATATTCTAATTCACCCCCTCCATAACCCTCTTGTTCACTGGAGCCATCCTCAATTCCACCTTTGCACAAGCACTGAATTTGGAATTGTATTGTTGAAGACTTTCATGGCCGGAATCCTCAGAAGATGCTTGCCATAGATGTAGGCAAAACATCAGGAGAGAATGCTTCTAAAACATGGCCATACAACCCGACAAACCTACAACAACCCAATTTTGGAATTGGTCCCAGATCCCAGCAAGGCTTTAATAAGAAATAATGAAAAACATGCAGCATCTCTGCAATCCCTGAAAGGACACCCAACACTCTCCTCTTAGATTTATAATATAAGAAGTTAATGAAAACATGAAGTACCTATTTTTTTTAATAAAGGCTAGTCAGCTAATGAGTTCATAATTATCTGATCCCATTTGATATCTGAAATGTCCTACACATTTTTGTGTGTAGGACTAATATGATACACTGCCTTAATGGGAATTCAGTAAGTCAACCCTTAAGAAAATTCCATTGATTCAACAGTTCTATTATCTTTAGAATTGACAATTTGATTTAGTCAGTGTTGTCTAAACATAGAACCACTGTACCTGTGTTGATCTTCTAGACTGCCTTGCTTGCCTTGATCTGGCTTTTCTTTGGGATTCAGATTCTTCATCCCGAACTGGGGTGAGGTATGACCTGGAGTTAAGATTTATCAGACAGGAATAATGGTTAAATTAAACTTTCTGTGAATATTAGAAAAATTAGAATCTAGGGCTTCCCAATGCAGTCACTGATTGATAAAAAAAAGCAACTGACAATTCAATTTGATGGCAGACAAAAATGGTTTTATCACAACAATGTGGTAATGGTGCAACTACAAGATTGCAACCCATGTTTTGCCACACTATACATATAAGTATATTCAAACTTTTTGTATTTTTTATTATCTACGATCTAGTCTAGAAATTTTGTTCCAGCTCTGAAAATGTAAAATATCAGGGGAAGGTGGACCTAATTATTAAATGATCTTATATTATCCCTATGTAGTTAACAAACTCACATGATCGGCTATTGAACTTCCGGTACCAAATAATTTTAAATTTATGTGATTCTATATTAATGTGATTATCAAGTGTTCGGCCAAATTGGGTGATGTAAGGACAACACAATTCAATAATGAAGATGATTTAGATAGTGGACACAAATGCAAATGTGATACTTGTGCAACATATATACAACTTCTTTGAGCACAGGTGAGAATGAATGACAAATTCTGTGCCTGAATTTTAAATGTAACTTGCTCCCCCCCCCCTCCCCAATATCCTCTTGGTATCTGCATATATGTATTATTCAATAAATAGCTTCATCTACTTTATACCAGGTGGAAAAGCTACTGCTATACTACCTTGTAGATCTTTTTTTTTTTAAATTCAAAACATGATGAATTCTTTACTGACCAGCTTCACACCTTGCCTTTCATATTGAAAGGTAGGATGTGCTCTACCAGTGTGGCACCTTTCATGTATCATCAATCTTAAATAACAGAATTAAGAACTTAGCCTTCATATCAAGCCTGTTCCAGTTCTACAATATCAAATAAATAGGTTTGTGGAATACATTTTCAGTTTCCCACATCTCGTGCAAGAAAGAGGTCAACATGTATATAATTTTTTTGATAGAAATCAAGATGGGGGAATTTGCAGATTCATTCCATCTTTAGAATCTTCCCCTTTTCTTCCTATCACCTTTTCTCAGTGAAATCTTTAAGGGAGTGGAGTCTGCATGATATTTTGGTTTTTTGGCAAATCTATTTACAGTAGGATCACCACTTTTGTAGGTGCTGGAGCTGCAATATTCCTGTGAAAATGGGAAAGTTGTAAAGTTTGCTCCACCAGCCTCCCAATGCAGATGTTACTGAAACATCCAACTAGACAGAGGATTAGGAGGAAAGATAAACTAACTGGGCATGGGAATAAAAACCAGTTGCAAAAAGGACCTTCTGAGAGGCCTTGTTAATTGAGATATGACTGTATTTTCTAACACACTGTGTGTATACTTGCTACTTTCTTTATCCATCTCATAGATCTAATGAAGTCAATTTTTCAAAATACCCCAATAAACAGTTTTTGTCTCAGGGCTCAAGTTGCCATGTTGATTAGGAGGTTTATAAACAATCTAAATTTGTTTAAAAGAATGCTTACAATATATTTCAATATATAACACATAACTGTTGTTCTGTTACAAGCTTTTTGAAAACTGATGTTGTAGCTGAGAAACGAGATAAAACAACAAGGAAAAGTAATGACACTTTCCTTCAGACATAAAATCACCTGGGAAGTAAGATGACAGCAGGAAGTTGTCAACAGGAAACAAGCAGGTTTCCACAGGAAAACATATACAGAACATATATGGCAAAGCAAAAGAAAAGGTCATTGTAAGCATTCACAATTTAAAGTGTGACTCTGAAATGTGTGTTTAAAGATATATTATGATTCAACAATGACTGTTTAAAAATGCTTCAACCACTGTAATAGCTAATTGTTTTTTGGGGGTTTTTTTTGCTCAATTAAGAACAATAAAATCCTCAGTGATCTATAAGACAGTAAGGGCTGGAAATATGGAGCTAACTGAATATGTACAAAATCTTCTATCTGACATTTTTTTAAAAAAAATCAAGAGTATCCACAATGGGAAACAGATACTTGTTATTTATAAGCTTCTTATCTCCTCTATCTCTTACACGCACACACACGAAAGAGAGCAAAGCTTTAATGCATTTACCCCTGCATCAGTGCACATTTCATGAACAGGAAATGTGTTTACCTCATACTAACTGATATGCAGAAAAACAAATATTAGTCTCAGAACTTTACACACCTGCGTCTCTCCCTGACCTCTGAAGTTGAGGACACAGTGCCAGAAGTAGTTGTAGTCAAGGTTGTGGTAGTGGTTGCGGTATTTACAACTGATGGCGCAACAGGAACAGTCACTGCTGTGGGAACATTGTCTTTGTCTCTCTCAGTACTATCCTCAGCCCATAAACGATTTGAGGTACTATGGCATCATAGGAGCAACACAAAAAGAGAAAAGGAAATAGCTAAACAACAACAGCACTTTACTAAACAGTGTGATACAAAGGAATGGATTTTTTTAAACACGTGAATTTGAGGTCTATATTATAGAAATGTCTATACAGCTCCAGATGAGCTTTATTAGAAATGATATGCTTACTAAGCCAGAACTACATTTTATTTTTAAAGTATTGGTTTTACTGCCATGCACAGCTATTATTGTATAGTGCATCTTCATTTTGAGCCAAATTATATACAGACTAATGTAAAGGAAAAATGGAAAAAAATCCAGAACCCAGTACCGTCTACACAAAAAGGCATGCACATACATAAAGCAGACAGTGGACTCAATTATAAAACACACCAATGCTCTCACCTGCTTGGTATGCCTGCTGTTGATGAACCCGTTGCAACCTTTGTAGCAGAGCTTGCACTAGAAAGCAGGCTTTTTTGAAGACCAGCTGGAGAGGTAACTGTTGTTACGGATGTAACACTTGGAATACTAGAACTAATCAGATCATCTTGTCTTCTACCGAAGGAACCACTGAAAAGTTATTTGAATTATGAAAATAAACACTGTATTTACAAAGTGGTTAAGGTGAGGTTGCTAGTCATATTTACCAAACCCCAATTTCTATCCACCAAATAGCTCCACAAACTACATTTATTCAGACAGCATCCTTACTGGAACTTAATATTCTCCTTTCCACATATAACTACCCAGCTTTGAAACTTAATTTTAAGATGAAAGGTATGTATTTCTGTCTTTTTCATATTATGTTGTTAACTGAAATAGATTTAATTGGCATTGTTACCACTAAATAAACATATGTGAAGGTGCAAAATATTATACTGTGACATAAAATTTCCATGAACAAAACCAATCTGGCACTTATGGGCTGCAATCCCCTCCGAGTCAATATTTGGTAGTACCTTGGGCATCAATTACAGCTATTAAGTCTTCTTGGGTTAGTCTCTATCAGCTTTACCTAAATTTTCTGCCCAGTCATGATGGAATTGCTCCAGCTGTCAGGCTGGGTGCAGACCACTAGCAATATGCAAGTTAAAAATCTTGCCATTCTCTGTTGAATCATGGCTGGTCTTTTGCTGAGTCATTCCAAGATATTCAGGTTCTTTTTCTTTTTTTTCAACCATGCCAAGATGATTTTTTAGATCACCCAACTACTCGAAGATGAACCTCTGGTACAGTCGCAAGTCTCTTGCAGACTGCAATAGGTTTAATGTACTGTGGGAGGCTGTCATGGCTGGAATCACTGGGTTGCTGCAATTTTTCCGAGCTGCATGGCTATGTTCCAGAAGCTTTCTCTCCTGACGTTTTGCCTGTATCTATGGCAGGCATTCTCAGAGGGATCTCACAACCTCTGAGGATGCCTGCTACAGATGCAGGTGAAATGTCAGGAGAGAAGGCTTCTGGAACATGGCCATATAGCCCGAAAAACTTACAGCAACTCTGCAATATGTTTTCCTCTAGAATTGCCCTTTATTTGGCTCCACCCATTCATCTACCCATCTCTGATCATTTTCCTATTCCCTCTTAAGGAAAAGCAATCACACTTGAATGTGCTGCTTCACTGTGTGGACAGTCCTAGATTTCTCCAAGATATAGAGTTTACAGGTAAGTCCAGAAAGTCCAGTGCTTTCCCCATATGTCTCTCCGATGTCTTTTTGTAAATTTCAGAAGGTCCTCATATTGGTTTTGCCAATGACTTTCTTTCTGCCATCTTTTTTCTACCAAGCCCTACTTTGTGGAATGTGCGCGTGATAGATGTCTCACGCGTGGTTTAGCTCTTCTCACTTGGCAACCACTGTCCACTTCTTTAATTCTTGAATGTCCTCCTTATTTAGTCAATGAGATCTGAAGGACATTTTCCTTCTTACTCAAGTGCATTTGTTCTGCACACAGATGGACTCTATTCAATTACCCATGTGACTTCTGGAAGAGGAGGACTGCTTATTTAAGCAAGTCACAAGGGAGGAAGGGACTAAATATTTTGACAATCAACTTCCAATTACCAAACTTTTGAACAACAATACAAATATTTTATAGCATTAAAGTGTTCGGTATTTTGTGTACTTCGAATGGTAACAGTGCCAATCAAACCCATTGTAATTCTAGGTTGTAACATAACAAAATGTGTAAAGGTTAGGAGAGAAAGAAGGAATACTTCTTCAAGGCACCATATCACAATGTATTGCTTATGCATCAAAATAATAAATCTAATGTAAGTTGCTTATGTAACATTTCCTTAAACACATTTAACATTTCCTTAAACAAAATCTATTAGGTCACACAAAGGTCATAAATGAAATCTTAAATAATGCACATTTCATTAGTTTAAATCCAGGTTGCTATATTTTGATTGCCCAGCAACAGCATAAGGAACAACAACAAAAGCTCAAACAGTATCTTCATGCTTCTATAGATGCAATAGTATAACATGCATTAGATATAACTCCCATCAAAGAAAAGCTTCAATGATGACTGTACCAGTATATGCTTGCCTAGTAGTAATTTAAAAAGAAAAACAATGAAATGAAACCAACTTTAACAGAAATTGTGTTGGTCCTTACAATGGAAGGAGAAACCCTTTGACACATCTTGGCCTTCATAGATAATCATAAAAAATTGTTGCTGTTGTCCTTGTTAGATTAACTACACTTTCTGAAAATCAGATGCTGAAGCTGATGTAGCAGCGACTCACGGGACTGGGAAAGAGGCATCTTCTCCCTTTGGCTCTCCCCAAACCCATAGCCATCAGTGAATTTAAGTAACACAAATAGTGATATAGAATACTTTCATTATCAGACAACCGATAAGCTACACCTAACATTCCAGTCAAATAATGTTTTAAAAAAGAAATCTACTTGAAAATGTTTATATTCCTAAAACTACACATACACTAGATAGATAGTTCAATGAAAACAGGTGCAATTTTCCTTTACACTTCTGCTATCTACTAATGTTAAAATATAGTCTTCTGATTAAAATTTATTTACCTTCTCTGATAGCTTGTATTTAGTGGTGAAGATCCTTCATTTGATATATTTTTCTTTGTATCTTCTTCCCATTTTCGTCTGGTATAAGAACCACTACCACGTATTAAACTAGCTGATGTATCCCTGTTCTCTTTCTCCTCTATGTCAGATGTACTGGCCAGCCGTCTTGGTATGGTAGGTGCAACATAAGCGAGTCTAGTTGATTTTGTATCTTTCTCCTAAAAACAAACAAATGAACAGGGGTGGTTTCAATTTGTGTTTCAGAATAGCTAGTTTAAATTTCAATTATTAGGAAAGACATATAAGGGCCAAACATCATTCCAATTATGATTATGTTTATTCCTGTTATCTTTCATGATTGTAAAGCCTTCCAACTTGATTCAATTAATTTAAGCACAGTGTAACATTAAAATTAGTGCACCATTGAAAAGGAACACATTTCACATTTTTTCATCTATTTTTAATACTTTGGATTAGGATGAAAGCCTATTTTTGTTTTTGTGGTTTTTCAGTGCCAGATTCCCTTGGTTCCCCATCCTGACATTGAGCAAAGCCAGAACAAAAGCAGGTGGTACTATTTCTTTCTGCCATCTGTTCTTTTTTCTGAATTACAATTGCTCCTCCGCACCCCTTTCTTTCCTGCTCATTTGATTAGCAGGAAAGGGACAAAATGCTGTTAACATAGGCTCAAACTAGTTGGACCTATGTTGGACCCCAGTTTTAGAATGTCTGATTGATGTTAAAATCATTAAGCAATGGTGTTGATGCTGTGCACATTTTACTGTAAAGAAAATCAAACAAAACTTCTAGTATTCAAATAAATATGTAGGTAGTTATCAATTGTGAACTAAATTATACAGAGACCAATCAACATGCTTGGTAATTGTACAGAATTATGCTTCCAAGACAAGGTGTTAGGGAAATCAGAATGTGGCATGTTTCCACTGTTGATACCAAAAAGACACTTATTGCGTTATAATGAAAGTCATAAAAGTCTGGTGTTTATAGTAGCCACACTAAAAAGGTTATCTAATGTGGTAAATGGGGAAAATACACCATTCTTGATTTTTAAGAACTAGTATAAGAACAGAAAGTTACATACAGGTCACTGAAATTTTGCTCCTGATTCCTGAAGTCTCTCACCTGCACATTTCTAAAAACAGCGTGAGCCTCTAAGACTTCATCAAGCTGTAGGCATATCTGTTCAATACTGCCCTCATAGCTTTCAAAGATAGAGACTTTATTCCATAATCTGTGACAATTTAACATTGAGTTCAGTACATTTTAAATGTACACAGTCCTATTCTTAACCCTCCACCAACCATAACTTGGTTATTGTATGTTGTGTGCTTTGAAAAAAAATTACCTTTTCTTTGTTGTCTAATGAAGAGGACAATCTAGGGCTTGAAGCTGAACGCATAACTCCTGTTGAATCCTTCTCTTTCTGAGTTTCTTTGCTAGCTGTAATCTCTGCCAGTGCCCCATAACTGCCAGTCTTTCGAAGACCTAATCTCCATGAAGCAGGAGACTCATCCTTTCTCTCTTCTTCTTTGGGAGAAACCTTAGTTGAACTTGGGAACTGTAAAACACAGGGTTGCTTTTTTGTAAGTCTTGCTCTCCAGGTGTCCTCTGTGCAGTCAAACCTTTGGAAGTGTGCATGCACAGGTCACAATCTTTAAAATCCTAAGACCTTGAAAGGAGTTGCCTTTGCCCTTCTCATTGACATATGCGTATGAAACAGGGAGATCCTGTCTTTATTCTCAGTTTTCTTAATGCCATGACTACTCACTAACCAAATAATTTTCAGAAAAAAATGCATTTCTCTGGCAGATAAAGACATCAGGATGTGTAACTGCACAGACGACACTTGGAGAACAGCAGCCACAGCCAAGCAACCCTGTTTTCTCCTTCGTGGTCTTTGTGAAGTCTCACATTTGGAAGTTAATTTGGAAATTAACTCACATTTGGAAATTAATTTGTCTAGCTTCTTCATCCAACAAAGATCATAGATGTAGGGAACACATGATGGGTCTAGACATTGTGCAAGCTCTTCACATTAAATCCTTCCATTACCCTGGATTCATTGCCATATTTAATATTTTTATGTGCAGGCAAACAATGCCAGTCATTAGAAGTTATATCTATTTACCTCACTTAATTTGTAGACTCAACAGTGGCTATTTGTTGTGGATCATGGTTTAAAGTTACGTGAGTTCTGTGTGTGATTCTACATAGCCACTGTAGTGAAATCTTACATAGCTACAAATCTTCCTGCTTAGCTGCCATATGGCCTGTTCAGCAATAGTTAATGCTCTTTTGCAGAGTTGCACTCTGACCCATTAAGCTCAATTCTAGCAAGCCTCTTTAATGAATCCTCTTCAAAATGTGTCAGTTCCCACACTGTGATCTCCCCCAAAAGTATATGTATGAAAAACACTTGATCTCCCACAGATATTTTCTTTTAATGTACCTCCCAAAGGTCATGTTTCCCAAAAGAGAGGGGCATTGAATAGTTACCAGAGGTAATATGCATGCACAACCCAAACAATTTAAACTGTTGCATGAAGACAGCTGGGCACCTCACTGAGATCAGAACTGTGAAAATAATATCACTATATACAGCCTCAGAGAAAGCACAGAATAACTAGCCTACTACTGCACTTTGTGGCAGTAAAAGACATTGACCCAGTCTCAAATTCTGCACATAAGGGCAAACCATGGCTGCCAAGGAGGTGGGCACAAGCAAACACTGCTCCTGTAAAACACAAGAGTTTCTATATGGTGATATATGCTTCTTCACATCTGAATGCGAAACTATACAAAGGTCACAAAATGATGTTCATCATGTTTATTCTCAAATTCCATGCACCATGGAATATTTCAGAATTTATTTTCTATAGATTTGTTTTGTACATCTAGAAAAGGAAGCAAAATCTCACACAATTTCCTTAGCAAGTTAATGACCTCATTTTAAAAATCCCAAATTGGTTAAAATAATAAAAATTTTCAAAGGTTAGCTTTAAACATTACACTATAAACTACACATAGACAATGAGATGCAAAAAAAGGCACACTGTTGAAAATCATGCAATTGCAGTGTTAACTTCTGAATTCACTTGTTATTTAGCAGTTGTAAGGGATGGGAAATCACACAGACAAAGCCCTCACCAGAGACTTTTCACCTTTACTGGGCACTAGAACAATCCCAGTTTTACGTAAGCCCTGCCTCCATGATGTAGGATTTACAGAGTCCGCCACAGGCATGATAGGAGGAAGAAAGTCATACTAAAGCCAGTTGCGACAAGACATATAAAAAAGATACAAAAATTGAAAGGAAGTAAACACTAGTCTTTTGTTGTCACTTCAATCCACAAAAGGCACATGTTCACAGAATTAAAAACATATGTATGTGGAAATGTGAATTGAAGGTGGTGCTAACCTTCAGGTTTGAAGGAGGAAGTTAAAATGGGATTCAGTTCATTTTTATCATGAGCCAATACTACCATATCCAGACACCAAATGAAATAAAAAAAAAGGGGGGGGGGGACAAAACAAAAATGGAAAGGCAGAATTTAAAAGACATGGGAAGAGCGAGCCAACTGACAGATGCTTGGTTTCATTTTCACACACGCTGCAGGCATCAGCAATCTTAGATTATCAAATTCAAGGCGGGCATGGGCAATTTGAATATGAAATTAATGGAGTGCTGAACCTTGATTCAGTGCTTGAAAGATGTGAAAAATAATGTTTATGTTGGAACCAAATAGCACAAATCTGTTCAGATACTGCTAATCTTGTTGCCTATCTAGAAAAGAGTAATTTTATGAAATTAGAGAGTCGGTTGTGCAATTCTTCTGTTGCATATTCCTAATGGATTTTCTTTTTAGTACTTTTAAGGCTGCAGATAGGTCACCAAGGCTAAATATGGTAGTAATTTTGTGCAAGTGATAACAATTTTGTACATAAGCCACACTTACCTCTTCTCTGATCTTAATAACTATGCTTTGTTTACCTGCACACAGGACAGAGTAGCTCAGATAACAGCACAATTTGTATCACATCAAGCTAAATGCAGCCAATCAGCCACAAACGTACAGGTCTTAACAAAACCACCAGCCAAAATAATTGTGGTAGCAGGACTGATGTTGTTGATGAAAGAATGCCATTTTAGTGAGCTTTTAACTTTTTTTGTTCTAATGACAGATTGACCACACATCAAAAGGTGTAAACACAAGGAAACTGAAGAAATTAGTCAGTAACTTTCTCTCTGTTGATCAGCCATAGGAAGAAGAGAACCTAGAGCACTTGGCTCTTATTTTTCAGCCACTTTAATCCCATATTTGGAGGAAGTTGGGATATAAATTATTTTCTCTCTTAGCTCGGAATCTTTTGCAGTCAGTGAGAAATGTTAAAACTAGAATCCCCCCCCCCCCAAACTTGTGGAAGCAAGATACACAAAAACAAACTAATAGAACTGAAAGAGCAAGTGAGACTAATAAGTATAACATTTATGACACTGGTATTTGGAAATCCATTTAGACAAAAAAGTAGGATCCAGAGACAAACTAATCTGTCTGATTCAAATTGGCATCTAGTTCAGAAACTCTCCTAGCTAACAATAAAGGCACAAGGAAAACCACTTTGCATATCATAAATCTCAAATTCCCTCAATGACTGAAATAGAGATGTGGTAGGTCTATTCAGGACGGGAACCTAGGCACAGTATGAGAAGATGTCAATGTTGTGCCTCTAAAAAACCTTCTAATGTGCAGATGAGCCGATAATGAGCTTAATGATTCTTTAACACCATAGATAATGCTGAACCTGACATTTCAACATATTTGGCTTTGGTCCTTTCCTGAAAATATTCTACAAACATGAAGTATATGTTCACCATCTCCAAATTCACATCTCGGTACCAGATTTCAAATACTTCCCATGTTTTTTCTTTTTCTTTTGCTGATTCCTTCCTGGATGACATTGTTTTGTCTATAACCTCAAACATGTAACACTGTGAATTTATTGTTCTTCTATCCAATTTTATGTTGTTAAATTTAACCAGCTTGGGTTCTGATGGTGAAAGGCCCTTGACTCAACAGATCCTCTCTGCTGAATAATCTCTTTGGTGGAAACAATACTAATTTTAATAGCAAATAGAACCATGGTCATCTTATCCAATACAGTGTTACTAAGAACACATCAGTTCCCTCCTGTTGCAACTTTTGAAGTATTTTCTGGAATATTTGTATCCGTTGAAAGGTATACGTACAAACATCAATTCGGCCACAGTATTGCCAAAACATCAAATTCTCCTGAATCTTTGCTGTCATCAATAAAAAAGTATCTTTTTAACTTTAAATGTCTATTGCAAAGGGACCTTAAGTTTGACATAACAGCAATATTATTATAATATTCTTATTCAACATCCTCTCCCCAGGATGAGCCATATTCTTGTCCGTATAATTTTTGAAATTTCCTCTTCAAATACACTACTGATATTGAGCTTAGAATAAATTAAACAGAAATTAAACAGAAATAACACTTTCAAACCAGGAACAGAATTTATTTTGAATTTTGTTATAGTATTATCAATGGGATTGATCTCAAACCTGTTTGATTTGACACATATGCTCTCACTGTCATGTTGTCTATTCTTAATTGGACATGGCTCCCTTTCAGTATTGTTAATAATCTCATAACTAGTCTTACTGCCTTTAATACGAGAACATTGATATTGTATTCCTGTCCTTATTGTTCCAACTCACTTGTACCTTTACTTGGCCAAAATGAGACCTAACAGGTTAGACTTCCATCCATAGTTATTGTTATCTGTTTCTTTCATGAAAGGTGATATTCTTGTCGACCACTACCTTAGATCCTTTATCAACTATTGTAGAATAGGTATTAAAAAGTTCTTCTTTCCTCTTACTGATATCTGATGAGGATATAGTAGTTTCTTAAATGAAAGCATCCCCAGGGTACTACCTGTACAGATGATATTAGCAGGCTCATCACCCTGGCCAATTCCACAAAATGTGCTGATTTTGATATCACTAATGATGATATTTCTGTCTTCAATTTCTTTTTCCTCTCCTTTGACAAAGTTAAGTTATCTTTCACAGTGTTGATCTGAGTTCCTAAATGTGTTAAATAAACATAATAATGACTCAGCACCTAGTTGGAGTCAAACAGCACTTTTTGTTATTTATAAAAAATCCATAATTCTTTAAAACTTCTACCATCTGTCTCTCTCTTGTATCTGTTTATAGTTTTGATTTTGATTCCTATTTCACTAGAATGTTTAAATATGGAAAAATCTGCATCCCTTTCTATCTTAGCAACACTATTGAAGGGTTTGATAGTGTTGCTATCAATATTTTCATGAACACCATTGGTACTAATTAAAAGCTGCAAGATTGAGCACCGAATTGGTAGTTAACTTGCTGGTAATTAAATCTGAATTTCTTGTGGTCTTTTAGCACTGGTATATAGAGAGATGTTTTCTTCAAATTTATAGAGATTGTGTAATATACTTCTCACAAGTTCCCCTTTATCGTTTACATTTTGAATCTGAGATACCTCACAAAAACACTGAGGTATCTCAGATTTGACACTGGACAATATGTCCCATTGCTTTTTGGCGCTGCGAAGAATATACAGATAAATAGCTCCCATCTGTTTTAGATCTTGAATTTTCTGTAACTCACAAAAATATTGAGGCATTTGATTCAACACTGCCACTGTGATGAATGATGTCCAGGCAATTAAACAGGAAATCCTGTACTCAGATTGGGGCAAGATAGTGATTACACAATCCACGTAGGTTGGCATCAAAGTAGTTTCAGGATATAGTATAATATATGGTATAGTAATAATACCAGATCCCTGAACATTTCTGGCAGTGGTATATCTATTCCCCTGACTTTTGGTCTACCTAAAATTGAAGTTATATTCTCACTTCTCAACATGCTTTGTAAATCAATCTGTTCGTTTTCCGATCCTAAAGTATTTTCAAAAATTTTAGTTAAGTGAGCTTTTAATTTTTTTTGTTATTGTTGTTAAGTGATGAAAATAAATACAGCTACTGGACTTGAAAAAAGTAAGCTAGTACAGCTAAAGTGCCATCTCTCAGCTCCATGCTGCTTGCACCTACCCCAAAGACTAGTGTGAGGCAAGTGTTCGAGCTGTACAAAATGAAGCATATACATTTAAACACAGCCTCCTTCCATTCCATATAGATAAGTTATAAAGCACATTATCAGTATCTGCTTTGCATTGTTTCTTTAGCACTTTAAAATGAGGGTATGTATGGCAGCCGACACAGCTGTCCCTGTAAGGAATCTCTTGGGAAAACACAATTTTAAGGATCTTTCCTAAACAAATCATTTCAATATACTTTCTGAGTACTAGTATGACTTGTTTCTATGTAGAACAAATAAATTATACTCTCATTTTGCATACAGGAAAGAGGTTGAAATAGTCCAGAGAATTTATGACAAGGGACTTAAATCCACACCTTCTATCTATAAGACAGGGCTGATTTATGCAAATACATTTGACACATTAAAGCACAATCTTAGAAGGAGTGCTATTCCTTCTCAGAACAACTTAAGGCCTTTTCACTGGCGAGCTGTTTAACCAGATTTAAAAACATTCAAAGAACCATGAAATAATTGTATTAAAAATGGCATAAAATTGACCTTATGGCATTGCTTTCAACAAGGGATATAATGGTAATGCATATATAACTAACCCCTTACACTGTCTAAAATGGAAACAAGATGTATCTTACCTTTTTAATAGGAGATGTAGGTGTTACTTGACCAGTAGGAACAGATGGCGTTGTCACAGCTATAGGAGCAGCTTGCACATTGGTGATATTGGTATTATTTGTTGTAGGTTTATTTTTTTCTGTAAATAAGCCATGGACAGGTTAAGCTAATTTACAATTTCTTTCTGAAAACATCATAAAGGCATCAACTCTCATTTGATCTCAGAAGCTAAGCAGGCTTATTCCTTGCACATGAAAAAATTATAAAATTCATAGGTTCACCAAAAGTCAACATGCAATTTTAGTATTACATACACTACCTGTATCAAACTGCACCCAAAATATAATCAATGTTTAACAGCACATAAAAATTTTAATTATTGTTCTACTATTAGAAACAACTCTGTATAACTTAAACGTCAAAGAGCAATTACTGGAATACAAAAATTGTATTTTTAACATTTCTAGTCATTACAGCTGCACTCAAAATTATGAAATTAGTATCCATATTTAAAAATGCAAAGGATGGAAAACATATAAAATGCAATGTATACTGATGACATTATATAAATAAATAGATGTTGAAGAGGATGAAAATGCAGTATCCACTACCAGTGTATAGCCCAACTGCTTTTAAGGTATAGTGTATGGCTCTCTGCTTGTTTCTCAATCTAGTGTAATGAAGTAAAGCAGTGGTTCTCAACCTGTGGGTCCTCAGGTGTTTTGGCCTTAACCTCCTAGATATCCTAACAGCTATAAACTGGCTGGAATTTCTGGGAGTTGTTGGCTAAAACACCTGGGGACCCACAGGTTGAATTAAAGAATGAAAAAGGGCTTTGAGCATACTTATTAACATGATTATGAGTTCCCTTTCCCATCTGAATATGAGATTATGATTGATGCACTGCACACGGTGTGAAATCTCTTGTTTTTAGAAGTTGCATTAAATAAAGTGTGCTAGGCTTCCTACAATGAGAAAATACTCAACAGGCTTGAATATCAATTACAATTTGCATTCTCATTAGGTTCTTTAAAAACATCATAAACCGGAAAGGTAGCAACAATAGGAAAATTCTACTGTCCCCCCCCCCCCCCCTGTTTTCTTAGTGTATTTTAGCCATCTCTTATTGTTTTGTTATAAAGTCCCATTAATGGCTGGGTTGAAGGATGAGAGCACAAAATTATAATCAGCAAATGTTCTATCATTTGTCACTCATCATCAGAATGCTAAAGAGTAGTAAATGTTCAAATCTAGACTCAGATCTAACAGAAAACCATAGTAACTATAAAACAACAATAAGGCAGGACATTATGAAGTAAATAAAAATTTTAGTTCCCCAAACAGTTTATATCCACTGACTCAATGGGAATGTGGTTAAGACAAAGAATTATTCAAATTCCATTAATTCAATAAATCCACTAGTTAGTAGACTTGTGCACAGATTCGTTTTGGCTGTTTTATTCGGTGTCTTCAGACGCCCATAACAGCAAGAGCTTTGCCACCATGTTCTTTTTTCAACAGAGCCGGACCACGTGACTGCTTGTCACAGTTCCTTCTGCTCACGTGGTGCATGGAGAGACTGTTGTGTGCTCACACAACGTTTCCCTGTGAGCCCTGCCTGTTGGACCAATCACAATAAAAGAAAGCTGTGATGTGTCTTATATAAGCTGTGTGTATTTAATGGGAGGAGCGCCTCCATTTCTCAGTTGTGTCCTGGCTCTAGAGAGAGGAGCTTCGGTCCAATTGCCTTGCCTCTTGCTCTCAGCTTTAGCTTTTGGCTTGGCTTCTAGCACTGAATCTTTTTCGTTTTTCCTTTATTTTCTAGGTTCTTTGTTTAGTGGGACTGGGAGTTGGAAAGTGTGGGTGGCTGGATGCACTGTGTTTGGGGACTTGTGAATGGGTGTGCTTTTCTTTTAGGGTGGCTCTGAGTTCTGAGTCATTCTTTAGCCTCTACTAAAGCCTTTAGCTTCTTATCTTATATCTTAAACCTCCTCTCTTTCATCAAAGTAGTACTTTTAAAATATTATTGTTATCAATAATTATAGGAATTCCAGCAAACAGAAAAGCTTCATTCTCAATCAACAACAATTTTTATTGATTAGCCAATTGGCCTTATCAAAAACAAACAATGCAGACATAACATACACCATACATCTAGTCTTCTTAAAATAAAATACAAATATACAGGTAGCCATAGATATATGCATCAACTATCCTCGTCTCCCCTACACTGCACCCCAATCTGATCTATGTACTCTGATCTCCTTTTAGCAGCTTTAAACAAATAAAGGGCAACTTGTGTTGTCAGAATGGGGTTATAACCAGCCAACAAAAAAGAAGTTTTGGCTGCTGTATCCCAGCTTGCTTTATTGCAAATAAAAGGACATAAGCTTCATTCTCAGAAAAACACCCATTATCGGGAGGTTCGCAAAAATGGAGCCGTGGCCTCCCCGGAGTTTGGATAGCGGAAATAAATCAAGGTTTTGCCGAAATGCACAAGACTACTAGTTAGTACTAAGAACTGGATTTTGACTTTTAAACAAAGTCAAAACTAAAAGACATAAAAACACAATCACAAACAGTAAAATCAGGAAGGATGAACAGTGGAAAGATCTAAAAGCATCTTCTAGCTTCTAAACAACATCTAAAACACTTTTTAAAACTTCTGCTGGTACTAAAAAGGCTGTAATGCTGGCAAAAGGCGAACCCATCTAAGCATGGTGTCATAGTGTAAGAACATGGGCCCTGTAAAAAAAAAGCTTCTGTCTTGGATTTACCCACTTCACTTTACTGGACACCTGGGTAAGATCACAAATGATGTTCTTTGAGCTTTTAGGTGAACATATAAACCTGTTTATAAAATCCACTGTGTCACCTTCAAACATGGTATGCACTGAATAGCCAGTTTGTGAACCTACAAACTCTGTTCTTCATATGTATTTTGATCAAATGCTATTTTACCCTACCTTTCTATTAAAACACATATCTGATACAGGGGAGAAGACAAAAGTGGAGATGAATAATCTCCACTGTATACTTGAAAAGGATGTTCTGAAGTGCACTTTAATAACTACGACACAGCTTTCAAAGAAACTAAACAGTGAGTTGTAGGCTCCTTGACATTTCTTCTCTGGGAAAAGAAAAATAAATTAAGCCCTGAGTATTTCTCAATTTACTCAAACTTGCTTTCACTAAAATTTGAAAAATTATGCGCACAAGCATAAACCAAAGCAAGCCTAACTAAGTTAGAATCTTTTTTCCCCTGAAGTGTCAAACATTTAATTGCGAATCCACCTTAAAACAAAAGTGGGAAAAGAGGGAAAGCACAAATTTGGAACACTGAGATTCAGCTCCAGGGAAAAGCCTATGTTCTCTATCATGCCAAATAAAGTATGATGAAAGCCTTGTTGATATTTAAAAACCTCCAAGTTTACATAAATTAATTCTTGTGTCACAGTCATATTTTCCTGGCACAAGACTACATAGTAGCAACAAAGGAAACACAGTAACAGGAGTCATGTAACTCAAGACATACTGAAATGAAAAGTCTGAAACTTTAAGCCATTAGTGAAAATCACTGGGATATATTAAAGCATGACCCTCCGGCTTACTGTATGCTCTTTAAGTAAGATCAGGGTACACCTTTGTGAATCATTATTTTAAAATTAACCTTCTACGTGTACTACCAAAACATATGTGTACAATTTCACTGTTGCTACCAAATCAGTTTCCCAGTGAAGAATTTCAGAATTCTTGAGGGTCAAATCATTTACTGTATTTCCTTCTTGAGTATCTTCCAGATATGAACACACACATGCACACACATATAAGTGATTTATATGGATTCTAATGCATGCCATACATCGATTTCTTTCCCTGTGGATTGAAGATTCCTTCCAAGCACATATGCCCCTTCTCTGATCAACCTCATCAATACAATAAACATAAGAATTTCTAAAGCAGCACAATCACTGTTCAAGTACTCTCGTGGCTATATTGGACTCTTAAGTGTTTATTATTTAAATCCTAAGGAAATGACACAAATTAAGCATAAGGAAGGAGAAAACAAGTGAGAAGCAGTTAATTAAATGAACAGTATAACAATGGTTAATTAAACTAAGATTAATTTAATTGGAGCGGTAAACTGAAATACATGTTCTGCATTACCTGTTTCTGCTTCAGATTCTGAGTCCTCCTCATCGTCTTCTTCACTAGAGCAGCTGGATTCATCTTTCTTTCCTTCCTCTTCTTCATCAGCTTTTTCTTCTTCCAGACACTCAATGTTTGATGCATTCTTTTCCTGCTCAATGATCAAAGTCTCCTTGCTGTAACAATATGTTTTTTTAAAAACATTAGATACTTCACTGCTAACTTTTGAAAACGAAGAGGTATCTAAGCAGACTGAAGTAGTGGCAACAAATACGGACTTAGGTGTGGTTATACCTCTATCTTCTCCTTTCTAGTATTTCAGCAAGAACACACCAATCCAACACTTTACAATTTCAAACCAGTCCATCAACTCATACCATATTTAGGTTGGCTCCTCTACTCACTTTTTAAATGGTTTTTGAGACTGATTATTATCCATGTTGGCTGTTGATTCGATCAGGGGAGATTTCTTTTCTTTTTTTTCACTATGAAGCTTTAAGAGAAATTAAAAGATTCATTTAATGCAAGCACTAGACACATTCAAAACAAGCCAAATTTAGAGCTCTTGCAATTCAGGACTTGTCCCAATATTTTTTAAACAAAACAAAACAAAAAGCTTCTAGCTTTCAACACTGATATTACTTTTAAAGCATGACCAGCAAGAATGTGGTTCAGTTTGTGAGCATTTCTACACTAAAGGGATTACAGATCTAGTGAAGCATAATTAGTACTGCACAAATGCCACAAGTGAGATTCAAGCCCAAGGCAAACATTTCTACTTCAATCATCTCAAGATATAAAGCAACTCAGAACCAAAACAAAGTAGGATGATCACATGTACCAGTCTTACAATCAAGAGTTATTGTGGCTCAAATTTGGTTCATATTTCAGTTTCTCACAAGTTTCCTATAAGCAGAAAAGCCTAATGAGGAAGAGGGTGTGAGAGAGGAAAGAGTGCATTTTTGTGACTGATCAGCTTTAGGTTTCAACAAACGAATGACATTCAGTTTTGTGGAAATGCCTTAAAAGAATATATGACAGCCTGGTGTTAGCATGCTGTAACTACATCTTGCTTTGGCATCAGGAGCAACTCTCAAGGTCTCCATGGATCCAAAAACTGATAAAAATCACTAAATGGGCAATGGTAGCTCCATACCAGTTATACAGTGGGTTATAGATATGAAATTCCTATCAATTATGTGTAGCTGCACTGAGTCTCCATGACATGAATTGAAGTATTCTATCCTTTTCTTTCTTGTGTAGCTGCTATAAAATGAACTCAACCCCCTTATCAAGACAGTCCATATTGGCAATCCACAATAAGAGGCCAAAAGTTCTACCAAGTAGCCAAGCAGGACAGCTGGAGAAAAGGGCTGATCTTGTTGACAGTATTGCCACTTCTCTCCTCCTAAAACAGAAGGGAATGCATGTCTCTCCAGATGTTGCTATGATTCTAAGTGGCTTTAGTTAAAGGTAAAGATGACTGTCATCTAAGTGCAACATCTCTTCTCTATCTGAAAGATTAGGGCACTAGTTTATAAATAGCAAAGGTTTAATAGCATGCCTCAAGAACTATTTAACAAAGAGGAAAAGGGGGGGGGGGGTAAAAATACTGCAAGACTTTTCCATAACCTTGGAGCCCATATTTATGATTTCACTTCCCTGCAATCAGGAAGAAATGGTCTTTCTGCGAATCTACTAGGTTTTCTAGACAGTTCTATGGTATGCTTCCTCCACAAGTGGCCACAAAGCTGCCCTGGAGGAACTAGCAATTCCCTAAAGGGGATGTCTCTTTAGGAATTTCTTACTGAGAAAGATAGAAAAAAACCAACCTGCCCAAAACACCAGGTTGGGAAGTGTATAATAAACCTCAAAAATCTCTACTAATATACATGTATTTCTTTGCCTGCAATTCAGCAAGCTTCACCCCTTCTCACTGCATTTAATTGTACTGTGTTGATCAACTGATTAATTTATGTTGAATTTTCCATTATAGTTAGAAGAAAAATATCCAAACCCTCAAAAAAAGGTGAGATTTTACTCTTATTCTGATATGAAATTTGGTATTAGTCCAAACTTGCAAGTACAGCAACCCATAATTTGAAAAACAACTTGTGTTACTAGGCTACAACTTCCAGAATCTGGAACATCTGAGGTGTTGTAATCTGTAAAATTAACAGATTCTGATCTGAAAATATGATATGGGGGGAGGATTGCAGAGTTTTGGAGTTAGCACAACTCCAAAATCATTGTAGGATATTGTAAGAAGCCAACATTTATGCTGAAAATCCTTTTCTAGGAAGATTTCTGATATACTGGGTTTTATTCATCATAACACAACAACAAAATTACTAAATTTCTATATAAGTAAATAACAACTATAACATGCCCTTAAATAAGAATCACTTAAAATATTTATTGAGCATATTTCAGACTACCGGAGTCCCCAAAATAATGTACTTTTGTGTAATTTAAAAAAATCAAAAAAATCTATTGTTAAAAGCCAAAGGTCAGACCAATTAGTATATAATTCTGCATTAACATAGAATTGTATGAACATTTTACAAGATGCAACTTGTGAACATTTGAGAACTCCATTAAAATATCTCTGGGAGAACACTCAGCATGTATGTCTCCCACTTTTATGAATGAAAGCATATGAAGGGTTCAATCGAGTGTTGCACTGAGTCACCACCAGACTTTCCACAAAGGAGCTGTTTCAGAGACAGCCATTCAAGTGTATTATAATTGCTGTATATACTAGAAATATGCCTAACAAATTTAGTCAAAAAACAGAGCCCAAAACATCTGGGGAAAAGGATCCATATTTTAATATATGTACTGTCCATTAACTCTATAAAACCATCCTCTCCTTTGAATACAGTGGTGGAAAGTAGCGCTTAGTCTGTCCTAGGGGAATTTAAAAGAAACACTAGCCATCCTCTACTCTCCTTGCTGCAGCATTGCTTCTGACCTTTCTGAATGATGGCAAAATGACAGGAGCCACAGAAGTGGCTCTTTGAGACTTCCCCTCAAAGGAATGTCAAGAAAATACAAGGGGTCGGTGCCTCTTTTATATTCATTCACGATTCCATAGTGGAAGACAGTGGTTGCTGTTTTTGAGAAGAATTAATAATATCCCTTAACTTTAATCAAAAAAGCAACCACCCCCATCTCTGCCAGAAAGCCTTTCTGAATGTCTAGGCAGGGGAATCAGGCAGCCTTGGCACTTTCCCCACTCCACATAATGACTCTTGACTAATCAGAGATCATATCAAAATTCACAACTCAAACTTATTCTCAACTTTTATACGAGGCCAACTTATACACGAGAATACATGGCAACAGCTTTTGTAAGGGTTTGTCTACGAGGGAAACCAACTGCTAAATTTGGAAATTGTAGAGCTCTTTGCCATTATTTTTCAATGTATTATTTTTATGCAAGTAATGCAATTCTACAACACTAGTTACTGTATCACATAACAACACAATGTAGCAGAAATATGTTGTGTAATGAGGTAAATAGTCCTTGATAATTATACAAAAAGGAGGTCCAGAAATGGACATCATGTTCTGCACGCAAAGGATTTAAGCTGCAATTCCTAATATTTCCCATTAAAGACCTATAGCTTGTAATGCCACATAGCTATTGTAAGAAAGAAACAAATACAGTGAACTTTCTTCATTTGTAGGGCTAGGGGCCCAAAACCCCTGTGAAAGTCGAAAAATGCGAATGCGATAACATGCATCCTACTGACTTTTTTCACACCAACAGCACTATCTGCACTGCCTTTCCCACCTTTCTAATATGAAGCCTCAGATAAGATTTTAAATGCTTTTCCTGACAGCTTCGTACCTACCTGCTCGCCTCACACCTTTTGCTGTTATGATTTGCCTGGAAAAGGGCTTAAATTCTGGCTGTAGAAGGTGTAAAGTAAGAAGGTCAAGCAGTAGCTAAAACTTGTGCAAAATCAAATCTACGAAAGAGAAACCCCAAATGTGAAGGGATGATTATAGTAAGCAGGTAGACTAATACTGCTATTTAGCTGAAGTAACTTTCATAAATTAACTCAAATAAGCTTTTTTAGTACTGAAAAACCTTACCATATTTTGCTTCTTTTGTAGTTCTTCTAAATATCCTAAAATGTCTTCATCAGCTACATCAAATGCAGTTTGACCCTGAATAAGTAATAAAAAAGAATTTAGGCTATGGAAGAATTAACCTGGTCATACAATCATATATCCAACAGACTATTTAATGGCCAGATCTAATGCTGTGAATACAGGATCGTCATTTTGTATATGTGCATTGTTCATAGAATCATAGAATCAAAGAGTTGGAAGAGACCTCATGGGCCATCCAGTCCAACCCCCTGCCAAGAAGCAGGAATATTGCATTCAAATTACCCCTGACAGATGGCCATCCAGCCTCTGTTCCCTTGAGTTCCCTTTGGGGTTGAGAAAGGCGGGGTAGAAATGAAGTAAATAAAAAAAATGGGAAGGAGACACTGAAATGTACATTATCTTGTATTACACCATTGCAAAGTTTTGCAAAACTAAATAATTTTTGAACACTCTCTTGGCACATAGTTAGGTGATCCCACTACATGGAATTAATACAAATATAATGGCTTCTGTTTTCAAAATTCTTAATTTTCTTCTTTTTTTAAAGTTACTGTGACTTACACTACAGTTTCAAAGTTAAACCAAACATTTTGTTTTAAATTATTCAGAATAGGCAATCACTTTTTATACATGTTGGATTTCTATGGGTACTATCTATCAAACTATAGTTTCCCTCTGAGTGTACTTCCATTAACACTGAGGAAGTAAAACTAAAGGAAAAAAACAAGTTTTCAACAGTACTGAGTTCATCTTTAGATTTATAAGGAATGATTAAAGCAAACACACACACATTAATCATTCCTTATAAAAATTTTAAGAAGCCTTAGCTACCTTCATAATTCATACTTAACTTCTTACATATTTTCTTTCAAAATAAATGGAGTCATCTAATTATGTATTGCAACATTATTTAAGTTTAAAATTATCACCTATAAGTTAAGGAACAGAGGATGACATTTAAGTATAATATTCACTGCTAGACACATTGTGTTGGCTGCCTTTTGAAGTTTTTCTAAGTATACTTGTTGACAATATAATTGATGACTACTTGTTTCTTGTTAGGAGTCATACATTTTTGAATTTGCAAAATTTTCAAAATTCTTAAGAGTACATTAATTTGTGCAGGGAGGAAAAACCGTAATGACACTAATCAAAGTGGATAATAAGAGACAGATAATAAGCGTTAACTACCAGGCCCTGATTGAGAACTATTTTGTATCTGGGCTGTTTGCTCATGTCAGCCCAGTTACCATCATTGGGCATACAACCAATCCACACAACTTTGTGAACTCCAGTTGGCTTCTGGAAATTAAAGATGGAAGTTTGTTCAGATTTTTATAATTTTTGTCTGGCTACATATGTTGAATTTATTGATGTTAGGTTTCATTTGATATTAGGTTTTATATTGTATTCATATGTGGAGTTCTTCTGGGATTTTATGTCGGTATTTGTTTGTTTTATAGAGGCATTGAATGTTTGCCATTGTATGTTAGAATCTGCCTTGAGTCCCCCTGGGGAGATAGGGTGGATTATGGTGATGGTGATGATGATGAATCTCCCGCCAGATAAACCAATCCATTTTCTTATCTCACCCTATGTCCCCTGTTTTTATCCTTGCATTTGGCCCAGCCCACTTTATTTAATCTTTTTGTTCTTGATTATATATATATATATATTTATTTCAATTATTATTTGCAGTATGCATTTTATTTGTTTATTGTATTTGTTAGGCTTGGCCTCATGTTAGCTACCACGAGTCCCTGAGGGGAGATGGTGGCAGGGTATAAATAAAGTTTAGTAGTAGTAGTAGTAGTAGTAGTAATAATAATAATAATAATAATAATCTCCTTTACACATCACATATGCCTTGGGTAATAAAATCCAGTGATTTCTATAACTCATAATTGCTCTAGAACTTTACAGTCAGAATGTGAAACTGGTCATTTTCATTGCCTTTTCACGATCCTACTTGCATTTTTTCCTACTTTAGATGCAAGACCTGTTCTCCAACTAAGGGCATAATACTTATTTTGGTACACTTTTTTAAAAATACTTACATCATTTTTTCTTATTTTTTTACTACTTTCAGTATACAGTTACAAAAGTTCTTTTATAGGGATACCTAATATTTTAATTTCTTAAGACATGTTCTATTATAACTTCTCTCTCATGTCTTCCATATTAGTATTCTCTCTCTCATACATGCTATTATATGGTTTTTAATTTAGTCTTCTGAGAAAACTATTTGCCGATGAATGCTCACAATTGACTGTATCATTAGGTAAATTTGAAAAACCAACTGCTGCAAAGTGACCATGGAAAGAATCTTCAGCTGGCAATGACAACAATCAGCAAATATAACTGTTTTCTAGTTGGTATTCATTTGGATGAACTACTTATCTTAAAGGGGCTTTAGACTGTTATGTGTTTTTTAAAAACAAAACACCCATTGCAAACTGTACATATTTGCAAAATGGCACATATGATATGGGACATAAGATATCTGTACAAAACATTAAAAAAAAACTGGTTGTATACAAACACCCAGTTGGTTTCTTAGCATTTATAAGTGAATTTAACAATGTGCAAAATATACTGGATTGGAAAGATTAAGAAATCCAAACTCAGAGAAGCACACTTCTCACCAGATCCACCACCCTTTGTGTGAACAGTACAAATGAGAATATTTTAAGCTTATTACAGGCAAAGTAATCAACTTTTAATACCTTTCAAAATGTTTAAGACATGAATATTTATTAGCAACTCAAAAGTACTCCTTTCCAATGAGGTCCTTAGGATTTGGAAATGAGAGAACATAAGTGCTAATAAAGTCAGAAGGGTTAAGAAAAAAAGACAGAGGACAGAGATCTCTGAGAATGATAACTGCCATTCTTGATTGGACATGTTACCTTAACTGCATCAAACTCTAGCTCCACTATGGGACTTCAGCCAATAAGCATTTTCCTTTAACAATTTTAGTCCACCTTCTGTGATTTCAATTATGATTTAAATATAAAACAAGAAGAGAAATATGTGTGTATTTATATTCTAAGAAACCTAAATTCTCAAGAAAATCAAATTAATAGACTACAAAAATTTTACTTGATTTATGCAATTATTTTCTGATTAACTATATGTGTAATACGGCATTAGAGGATCTATATTTTAGTGAAGGAGGATGAAGTGCAGTCCCCAAGTCCACCCACCATTCCCAAATCAGCACCTATAAGTCTGTGAAAAAGTGTAATTTTCCATTTCAATGCCATGGGGCCCTTTTAGTTCCAAAACTAGGATTAGCCAAAAAAATGGCTTCCAGTTTTGATTTTTAAAAATGGCCAGAATTGGCCCACAGTAGTCTGAGAGGATGGAAAATGGAGCAAGCAGAAACCCAGGGCACTGCTACATTTGTGTGTGTGTGTTCTATGTCTTCAAATCTTGTGACCTTTCTTAAATAAGGAAATTTCAGAGGATGGTTTGTCAGTTCCTTCATTTGAAATATAGCCTATAGTGTCTGGTATCTCCCATTCAAGTACTAACCAGAGCTGATTCTGCTTATCTTCCAAGATCAGAGAGGACCTAGTGCCTTTAGAATATTTAGTAGTTGTGCTGAAATGATCTGGTGCTTGTCTTTTCACAAGGAATGTTTAAAAAGCAGTTGCATTCAATCATGCTGGTCTGCCCATGGAAGCGGAAATTGTGGGATCACCTGAAAAGGCAAGTTGCGCACTGAGAGAGACACTATGGGTATTGTTTATGGCTTGCCGAAATATCTGAGGACATCTGGCCATGATCAAATGTTACAGTTAAGAAACAGTTAGCTGACTCCTTCACACGATATTATGTGCTATTTAGATCTATGAAATACAACCAGCTATTCTGTAGGGATTCTGAGCGTTGCATCCTATATACATTTTCCTACACTGATTCAGATAAAAGGATATACTGTATATGGTGTGTGTATCTCACAGTACATACATGCATTAGGAAGCAGCTACAGGTTCCTAATACACATATGGTGAAGTAGCAATATTACCCTAATATCTCAAAAAAAAAAATAGGGCCACCAAAGTTTTTCTCTGCAGGTGTTCCTAAAAGCGGTATGACCAAGATGAATACAATTCTGCAATGACTAAAACAAGACAGAGTACAAATGTGAACAAAATGAAATAATTACAAAGATGTCACTGTATCAAATTACAGGGTGATTTAGCCATGTTTTAAAGCAAGTAAAGAGTAACAAACCAAGGAACTGTTTTTGTGAACAGCTGAAATTATTATAAATTGTAATGCAAACTGGTTCAAATGTAAATGCTAATATCGTATTTTAGATATAGAGATGAGAAAATATGAAATTACAAGGTAAGATTACTCTAGCTCTATTTTATGTATATGTTAAATCTGTGGTTAAGATTTAAAACAATGTGTCAAGGCATCAATGACAAATTTAGCACATTTATTTCCCAATGTTTTTCAGCCCACACACAAAGTATTTTACATGTTGACAATAATTACACAAAATTCTTACCACTTTGTTGACTGTCTCCATATCACATAGATTTTCCACTAATATTCGACAGGCTTCTTCTTTACCCCAATGAGCTGCTGCATGAAGTGGGGTCCAGCCATCATAATCTTTAATATTAACATCATAGCCAGCCTGTATTAAAAGTCTGAAGAAATTAGATCAGTTAGACAAAATAGTTTTAAACAAAAATACAGAGCTATGGAACTGTAAATTTTAAGTTTTGAAACCTTGTTTAAAGACAAGCATGTTTAGAGTTTACTGAGTTTAGAAACCGAACTGCTTCGTCACATCAATCACCATTATTTATACTGCTAAATATTACCAGAAGAAAATGTTTTATCAATTTCTTCATTTTTAAAAAATGTTCACCAGCTTTCCACAGAACAGGGTACTTGCATAGAATACAGCTGTGCTAGACATTGATGTGAATTTTTTTAAAAATCCCCTGCACTTGAATCATGCTGCTCATCTCTACATTTCCAGTTTGAAAAGACTCAATTAATAATATGAACAGTTTGGGATAAATGCAGGTATTCTCTTTTAGGTACCAACAAATTATACACTTAACCCTTCTATCATGATTAGAAGGTCTCAAACATGACGTCGGTAAGGAAATCAAATGCCTATGGACTGCACAGCTTTCTAATAGCATATTTTAAATCTGCATTGATATATATATATATTTACTTTAAGACTTCTGTATATCCTTTGGCAGCAGCTACATGGAGTGCAGTACCACCAGATTTTGCATGTCGAACATCATTTATATGTCCACTGTTAAGCCACTGTCTTGCATCTCTAAGCATTATTCTTTCTTCTTCTTTCCGAGCTGCCTCTATATCAACCCCTGAAAGAGAACAGAAGCTTGTATGTTAAATTCCTCATATTATTAATTATGCTTTTTCAAATATCTATACTAAGTATGAGAAGGGTCGACTATACGAAGTAGGATACAGAAACAGAATTTGTTAGCGTGAATCAGCATGAATTTCAACATGGGCAGGATGCTGGTGTAATATTACAAAAGAAACTCAAGTCAAATCAATCAGCTACTTCCCTACACTTTGGGAATTGTGTCAGAGGTAGAGATATCCCAATGGCAACAATAGTCCATAATATGTGCTGTTGAAAACAGCATTATTCTCAAAGGGGTAGATTTCTGTGTGCTAGGATCTGGGTCTCTGACTGAAATGCAAGAATGTCAACCTCTACAAGAAAATGTCTGATACAAATTTCATATAGTTAAGGGTGCGTCAAAGTGTGTCTTAAATATAGTCATATTTAAAGCTGCTTGGAATGGAAAAGCCACATTCAAGGTAATTTAAAGTAAATGATAGGATACAGATGAAAACTGGATAGAGAAAGGTAAGCAAAATCCAATGCTGCACTGTAAAATTAATTCCATAAAAACAGTATTAAATAAGAAGCATTCTTGTGATGTTCCCTTTATTCAAAAAAGAGAGATTAAAATCATGTAAACAAACATTGATATTAACCAAGAGAGAAAGAACTGACTAGAACTGGTCCACAGGTGGCAATGCAGTAACTGTAGTTTGATATTTCAACTCCTTTCAAAACAGCTCTTTATATTTTTTTCAATTAAAATGCTTTTGAGAACTACTCTTTTACATTAATAAAAAACCTTTAAGAACCCACACAGCGACTGATTGGTTACATTATAAGTTAAACAGCAGAAAGGTTTCAGTTTAACATTAAAGAATTATGCTCAGCAGCCATTTTATAAAATTTAAAACAATACTAATTCTCAGCATTTTGGTATGCAAACACTTCTAGCTATGTCAAAGTTATGCACTGGATACTTACACAATCAAACACAACTTTTTATTGCTAAAGAATTATGGAAGCAATCTGGATACTAGCCAATGCCATCTAATTGTTTCAAATGCAGCGAAATGTTGTGATGACTTATCAGTCCTTATCACATGTCAAAAAAAGTAATCACAGTGCTATTTCACTTAAAATGAATCTTAAATCTCATTGTCTCTAATTTTCAATTGCCCTATAATCATTCAATGTTTCCTTCTCCTCTTAGTATGACACTCTCTCTCTAGTTGCACAAGAAAAAATTAGTTAAAAAACTACCAGATATTTCCTTGGTAAAATAGTACTTACTCCTCTAACAACCCACATCTGTCTGAAGGTGGCATGTTTTATCATTCAGTTTAAAGCTTGGGACTGTTCCAGTAAAGTGATCATTTTCTTTTTGAAAAGGCTTTTTAAAAAATCACACACTTACATGTGGGTCCTACCATCCTGTTGTGGGCAGCTTGGAAAGCAAGACTGAGGACATGCTCACTGAGTTGGAGCCAGCAGACCTCAGCAGCTCCCTCTGCCAAGCTTTGAAGCAACACCCATGGACAAAGCTACTACAACCCAGTGATTTCAGCAATGAAAGCCTTCGACAATACAAAGCTATTACACTTCTCAGCCTGCAGAAAAAACGAAAGCAAGTTCCTTTGAACAGGCTAAGGAAGAGTTAATTGTTCCAGCTTTCAAAGACCGGTGTAGTTTTCGAAGACCATCCGTGCAGGTCCCCAAGATTGGCTAAGAAACAAGTCAGCAGCAGGACCTCAAGGGTGGCAAATTGTGGCCCACTGCCACATCAGTTCTAGAAACTACAACCTCTGGCTCTTGCTATCTTGTATTCCTGAACTCTGGACTGACCCTTGGACCTTGGCTTATGGATTCTGATTCAATGTTGTACTCTGGACTCTCTGATATATGGCTTACGACCCTGGAACAGACACTCTGCTGTCTTAGCCTGCTGTTGTTGCCTCTTTGTTGGACTACCAGCTTGACCTTGGGACTGTGTATTAATGCCCTGCTGATATTTGAGGGTCAAGGCTTCTGACACATCCTTCCAAAGTAACATGTGTGATGGAACATTTCAATTTGTCACTTAACCATAATTCTATTGGATATTTACACATTCGACTTCTCAAACATTTAATTATAGAATGTGTCTTCCTATTTTAGATTAATTTGGTATCACATCTTATAAAGATGACTTGATCTATGCACCCTTCTTCCTTCACTTTGGGATTTTCAAAGTTCATGAAGTCAAGGAGTCCACTGCTTAGGCTGCAACCTTGCTCTCATCTGACTGAATCTTGGAATGATGAGTCCTTATTCTTCAAGGCTTGATGTTTAAATTGATGCATACTTTCAGTGTAATTCAGTCCTTGTGTCCACTAGCCAGGTTAAGACTGCTGGCTAGTGTAATTCAGTGTAATTCAGTCCTTGTGTCCACTAGCCAGGTTAAGACTGCTGGACTAAACCTTTGGGAGACCTGGTTTCGAATCCCCACTTATCCATGGAAGCCCACTGAGTGACCTTGTGCAAATCTTATGTTCTTAGCCTCAAGGGAATGCAATGGCAAATCCTCCCTGAAGAAATCTTGTCAAGTAAACCCCACAACGAGTTCGGTGTAAGGTTGCCATGTCAAAAATGGCTTGAAGGCACACACCAACAGCAAAAACCTTCTTGTGCTCAGGGTACATATGGAAAAGGCTGATTTATCATTGTTCCTGCCAAGATTTTGGCGCCCTAACTGCACAGCATGCAGTAAAGAAGGATGCCTCTCTGCAGGACTAGAAACTCTGAATTATGCTGGCAAGAAGAAAACAGTCACTTATTCTAGTGCTACAGAAAGAAATGAACATGAAAGCTTTGTGACCAGTCTTTGTAAAATACATTACATGCAGTAAAGAATTCAAATTTAGACAACCCGAAATTCTGTACTCAGCATATCCAGGGCCTACAACTTCATTCATTCATTCTAGTATATAAGGAAGCATTGTTTTATTATTGGACTGTTATTTTATCAATCTAGGTGGGGGTAAAATATTTGGGGGTTTTTTAATTTACGATAGGCAAGGTTGCTTTTGATTTGAGAATAAAATTACCCTTTTTATTATTATGTACTAACTACTAATCATCATGTGTAAAGATTGGGGGGGGGAAGGAAGTTTCAGTTCTTCCTTCCCCAGTTGGAAGGTCTTAAGTGTGTCTTTCTTAGAGTGAGTTGCCAGTACAAATTAAGGATCTTGTTGGTGTACCAGCCAACAACCTTCCTACTTGAGCTAGCAAGGTTGATCTCGGGGCTGGTGCTGGAGTTCCCCAGACTGGTTGTGCTGGGGGACTTCAACATTGACATAGAGGGCTCCCTGTCAGACTGTTGTACTCCAACACCACCCAGTTGAGTTAAAATAGCAAGAAGTTTATTGAAGATAGTAAAAGCCAAAGCAATAAAAGTAATCCACAGTAAAAAGGCAAATCCAGTTGATTAGGAAGTAAAAAGGACAATAGATCCACAAAGTAACAGTCCAGGAAAGTCCATTAAACCAGAGGCTTGATTTCAAAGGCAAAAACTACAGCAAAGGCACTTAAACAGGAATCAAACAAAGACCAAGGTCCAGGAGCATAGCATGGAGAACTATTCGCGAATCCAATGTTGCTTCGTCTAAAGTTAGATGTACTTAGCACTATATATCTACTTTGTTTCCCAAACAGCTAGGAATGGATTTTTCCTTTGTTTTGTTTTCTCTACTAGCTTCTGCTTTAATCTGGCTGAGTGCCTTAGTTTCTGATTTGTTTGTCTCTGCTGACTAAAAGCTCTTAGTCTATTCAAGGCTTTATTAAAATCTGCATCTGGAGATAACTGACCACGGGACTGCAGCTCAGAGCTTCTCTCAGCCTCAAGACCTTGAGATTCCCTTTGCAGCAACACAGGCCTGTCCAAGCTATCAACTGAACTGCATTCAGGCCCCACATCCCTAAAGCTAGGCCCAGGAAACAGACCATCATCCCCATTCCCTTCAGGAACATCTTCATGAACAGCATCCCCATTCCCATCAGAGGAATCAACTTTAACATGAACAACACTGTCATTCCCATCATCCAAAGCAACCTGATAATTAGACACAATATTATCATTCCCATCATCCAAAGCAACCTGATCATTAGACACAGTCAGAGGCTGAACAGGCTGACATACAACACAGGCGCAGTTCAAGACCTCATGTCTGCCGTGATTACCGTGGGGCTGTCCAAAATGATATCTGGCCCTACTCATAGAGCAGGTCACACTCTTTAACCTCTTCATCACAAGGGGTGGGGGGCATCATGATATAATGGTGGACGAACTAAACATAGTTTCTGTGTCATGGTCAGATCATTTCTTGGTCAGGTTCAGACTCACCGGGGCTCCTACCCTCCACAGAGGTGGCAGACCCTTTAAAATGGTCTACCTTGGGAGACTTATGGATTCAGATGAATTTCCAGCCACCAGGAAAGGTGATACTATTTATGCCCTGACCAAGATCTGGAATACTTTTTATGGATCACTTTCAATTGGTTCTACCCGAAGATGCCAACAAGATCCTTGGAGAGGTCAGGGCCACCACTTGTATCCTGAACCCGTGTTCCTCCTGGCTTGTTAAACAAGCTAGAGAGTGCATGCCTTGGATAAGGGAGCTCATCAACGCCTCAATCCACTAAAGCAAGGTCCCAACGGCTCTAAAAGAAGCGGTAGTTAGACCTACGCTGGAAAAAAATCCTTAATCTGTCCCTGCTTGAGAACTATAGAATGGTGTCCAATTTGCCATACATCAGCCAAAAATTCTGGAACAGATGGTGGACAGATGGTGGCCAGAAGCTGATTTTCAGTCTGGCTTCAGGTTGGGACAGGGAACAGAGGCGGTTTTGGTCACCTTGGTGGACAATCTAGGCAAAGAACTAGATAAGTGGAGAGTGACGTATTTGGTTCTCCTTGATCTCTCAGAGGCTTTCGATACCATTAATCATGATATCCTTCTGGAGCGACCAATGGGAATGGGTCTGAGGAACTATTCTGCAGTGGTTCCAGTCCTTTCTCTCAGATCACAGCCAGAGGGTGGTGTTGGGAGAGACCTGCTCAACCCTATGGCCATTAGACTATGGGGTCCCGCAGGGTTCATCACTTTCCCCAATATTATGGGTCCCCAGAAGTTTTGGCCATCTACTCCCAGAAATCCTAATAGAAATCCAGCTAGTAAACTGCCTGGGATTTCTGGGAATTATAGGCCAAAACACCTGGGGACCCACAGGTTGAGAACCACTGATCAGAGTGGTTTTGAATGTAATTTATTGGGGTTTAAAATAGGGTATCACAGCATTTGTTACTATTTATGGTTTAAACTTTTAAATTTTTATATTGTATGTTTTTACTGGCTGTAAAATTTTACTGGCATCTTGGGCCCTTCACTGGGGAAAGGCGGGTTATAAATTTCATAAATAAATACATTTTGATTAGTCTATTCACCCCTTTTTCCTTCACACGCTATCTACACACATGTATGTAAGTTCAAAAATTGCCTGTTGAAAAATATCTAGTTTGAGATAAGGAATATATACTTGATACTATGGCATGCTTGCAATTACTAATTGCACAAAAGGCTTTAAAAAAAACAGCACCTGACTGTAGGGAAAAGCAGATTCAGGGGTGAAATGAGCAAGGCAGAAAGTTCTAACCATTTATATGTCCTCCAAAGTAACACTGATGGTCTTGTGAGTTTCAATTACAATGAAGGAAATCTAATAACTATAAGGGTTTCTTTTCGCACCAATTACAGATAGTATATTTAAAATCTGTGGTCACCAAAAGTCCATGCAATTCCACTACAGAGTTTTATATCTATCACTTATTGTTTTGTTTTGTTTTAAAAAAACCAAACAAAAAACATTAAAATACTTGTTAATTGTGTGAATCATATCCTATCTACTTTAGCACTGAATCAAATAATGCAAATAAAGTAACATGCAGTATCAGATTTACTTTTCCAAACACCATTAGCCACGCAGGATTTCCATTCTCCAAAAATACGAGTACAAAGCATATATTTAAACCGATTGAAAGAATTAATACTTAGTGATAAACAAAAAATTGAATTTGGCTGAAGTGTCCCAACAATACAGAGGAATATCAGCTTTTATAAATATTAATCCAAAAAAAGCCTAGGATTTTACATTTATAATTCTATTTGGGAATTTTTGGAATATTTTTGCTCATTTTATGATAATTTTAATTTCCTCCAAGGAAGATTATGTAACCTTATTTGGGGTTAATTTTAATGGTTTATGTTATATTGTATGTTTTAATGCAATTGTAAACCACCTTGAGTCCTTTGGAGAAAGGCAATGTAGAAATTTCCCAAATAAATAAATAAATATTAAATAAATAATAAATAAAATTTGAGAATTGATCAAGAAAATTCCTTTAAAAGTGAAATTTGAGGAGGAGCAGTCTGTAAGCTTATACACACTTTCCACTAAGTCCAATATAATACTATGACCAAGTGAGTTTCCATGTTGATAAGCTAAATTTTGCTGTCTTATATGCAGAATGAAACTGTTGCTTTTTACATTGCAAAATGTAGCATTTTAAACTTTTAAAACTACCTTGTCGATTCACTTCATTTTGAAGCAGTTCTTCCATTGCCTCTTCTTCAGCAATATCTAATGGCGTATCTCCTTCACTATTTACAGCTCCTACATGTGCTCCTTGACTAATTAAATATCTGTGGACAGAAAAAAATATGATTAATGTGACAGCATTGTTTTGATGCAATTACTGAGTAGTTTTCAGTGAAAAAGTCACATAAATATAAACTAAGAAGCACACACATTGTAAATATATACTTATACTCTTTGACACCTAATCAACAGGAACTTTGTAGTTCCTTTCGGATTATATTTAGGAATGAATCAATGATGCAGTTTTTAAAGCTTTAAAAAAACCTTCTAATAAGAAGTACAACATCCATTTTGGAATCTCTTCTACTAGTATACTAGGTCTGGTTAGATACGGGAAAATATACAACACAGAGACAACAACCCAGCTGTAAAGTGCTGATGACTAAGGGTACTTCCATACTGCCCTATATTCCAGGATCTGATCCCAGATTATGTGCTTTAAACTGGAATATTTGAGTCCCCACTGCCAGATAACCTGGGATAAATAGATGATCTGAGATCAGATCCAGGAATACAGGGGTAGTGTGGAAGGATCTTGACACACATTTGATATTTCCGATGCTACAGATTTTCTCTGTCAAGCAAATAATTTGGAGATAAGAATGAACTTAAGCAAGTAACATTTTCTCAGCCTCAGTGAAGAAAATCCTGTGAAAGATCCTGTGGCCTCTCTCCCTCTGGAGGCCAGAACCGCCCCATCCATCCTAACATTTAGGAAACGGGTGAAGACGTGGCTGTGGAGTCAGGCCTTCGATGAATAAGACAACACCATAGGACCCTGGATGGAAGTTGATGTAGATCCATCTTAATAGGACGACTGACCACTGTAGTTTTATATATAGTGTTTTTAAAGTTGTTTTTGTAATTGTGATATATGATATTTTAATGAGTGTATATGTTTTTTATGGCTGGAAACCGGGCTGAGTCCCTCAATGAGGTTGAGACGCTTGGTATAGAAAACTGTGAAATAAATAAATAAATAAATAATAGTCAAAAACAGTTTGAAGGCACCCCAGCTCCTGGCATAGGCCATTCCCCATGTTTCCCATAGCCATAAACTACATCTGTCTACTTTTATAAGCCAGGAAAAGCACAGTTTCAACAAACATGAAGTGGCTCTCGCCTCTTCCAAGACACTGATCACAGACTGAAATGTACCCAATAACACAGGACAAGCAGGAGCAAAACCACTCTAATATTAACTAATTATTATTTTTCTGTATCATTTATCCTTGGAAATGCACTAGGCAAGGATGGAGACTTTCCCCTTTGGAATATGATTTATGTTTCAGTTTGTAATACTGCACAAAATATTCATTATTACATTGTGTATAACACACTTTGATTGTGTTTTTCCTGCATAGCAGGGGGTTGGTCTAGGTCAGGCATCCTCAAACAGCAGCTCTCCAGCTGTTTGGGCCTTAAACTCCCACAATTCCTGACCATTGAACAAGCTTGTTAGGGCTTCTGGGAGTGGGAGGCCCAAACAGCTGGAGGGCCACAGTTTGAGGATGCCTGTTCTAGATGGTGCATGTGGTCTCTTCCGATTCTATTGTTCAATCATTCTAACATTGCAGATGTTCTTTATATCATTAAGCTTTAGTTCTCTGAGCTTGCATCAATGAAGACAACAATGGTAAAGCTGAACGATCTAGCCACTCAATTAACTGGCCAAAAGCTATATGATTTCTCCGAGACAAGGTATCACAGAGTTTTATCTGCTAACTGACCATTTATCTTGTGCCTCCATGAATCTATGAATACTAATTCTCAAAAGACATTTCTCATATGATTGCACTAATTTAAATAAAATTATTAGTGAGGTCATGTTGAATGTGGGTAGATGGGCAGCCTCTGATACCTCTTTCTAAATGATCAAGATCAGAATTGTATTCTCTCCTCCACAAGTTCAGCATCAACTCTCATTTGACTGTACAGCCCTTAAATGTCAACTTTGTTTTCAGGTTACTTAGTCATCTTTTTAAGGAATTTTTGCATGCATGGATGCTTACTGAAGTATTTTGGTGGCTTGTCCATTATTATACTTTAAAAAAACTTTTAAAATCGTACTTGTTTACCTCCTTGATTTCTGCATACTAAAAATAAATGGCAAACATTCAACTCCTCAATCCAGGAAAGGCAAACAGAAACACACATATGAATAATTTAGTCCTTTTTTCACAAAACTACTTCATGGCAGAATTTATGATCTTACACATGTATATCGTATTTATAGTACACCCCACTTTTAAAATCAGAATCTCCCTTGCATACAATTTTGTCACAAAAATTTGGATATCAATTTGGATGTTATTAACTGAAGTAGGAAAATCTGTAACAATGGGAAAAACTAATTTCTAATTTAGTCCTTTTTCATATTTAGTAGAACACAAAACTACTTTATGGCAGAATTTATGATCTTACACATATATATCGTATTTATAGTACAACCCATTTTTAAAATCAGAATCTCCCTTGCACACAATTTTGTGACAAAAATTTGGATATCAACATCCAAATGTTATTAACTGAAGTAGGAAAATCTGTAACAATGGGAAAAACTAATTTCTTAATGTTACAAATAAGGTAGCATTTGTTGTTCAGCCTCATTTTTTACTGCTAGTCTTGGCACAGGAACTAGGGTAAAACTGCATTTTGGCATGTGAACAGGATAAAGCACTCTACTTCTAATTCAGCAGACTACTGCAATTCCATGTTAATTATGGAAAAACTTAGATGTCCCTCCTATGCTGCACATAATGATAACAAAGGGGCGGCAACACAGAGAAGAGATGCACTTTCTTCCTAAGCAGGAAAGTGTGGAAGCATATTCAACATGGATTGCCCAGTAGAAATATCTCTTACGAAGTACTTTTAGGGATCACTGTCCCAAATGGTAAATTCACACCGCCTGAATGGAATGTCTGACATAACCACTGAATAAATAGTACAGTCAACACATACTTCACAAAACTTCCAATAACAAGAGTAGCATTTTCATAATCAGTACAGGCAGTCCCCAAGTTACAAACATCTGACTTACAAACAGTTCATTGTTAAGAATAGGGTGTGTGTGTGTGTGTGTGTCAGGAGTGACTTGAGAAACTGCAAGTTGCTTCTTGTGTGAGAGATTTGGGCATCAGAAAGGACGTTGACCAGGAGACGACTGGATGTTTTACCATCCTTGTGGGAGGCGTCTCTCATGTCCCTGCATGGGGAGCTGGAGCTGACAGAGGTAGGTCATCCATGCTCTCCCCGGATTCGAACCTCCGACCTATTAGTCT